CGAGGCATAGAAGGAAACGAAGAAGCAGATGGCCTCACAAAGGAAGGGGCCTCAACACCATACCATGGACCAGAGCCCTACTGTGGCTTAATGAAAAGCCACATCATGGAAGAACTCAACAAATGAGAGAAAGACCAACTGTCATCATATTGGAGGCACACTCCGGGACTCAGACAGTCCAAAAGGTTTATTACACTTTCAGCAAAAAGAGAGCAGACCAGACATCAGATTGATGATAGGACTGCTCACAGGACACTGCCTGGTAAAAACCATTTGAGGTTAATGGGCAGAGCAGAAGACGATCTCTGCAGATTTTGCTCAGACGCAGCAGAGACTGCGGAGCACCTGCTCTGCAAATGTCCAGCCCAATTCTGCAAAAGGCTAAAATTCCTCGAGGAGGCAACACGAACACTGTCACCAGAAAAAGTGAGCCAACTGACACCCAAGAAAATAGCTTCCTTCAGCAGAAGTCTACGCTTCCTAGAGACAACTTATGATGTTGTCACGTACAAAATATCTGCAAAGGTAGCAGCGCTGAGCGGCTGAGAAGCCGAAACGACTCCCACACAATCTACAATGAACTCGTGGGATACTGCACCGCACTCACCCACTCTTTGACATCTTTCCGTTAAGTACGATTTTATAAATTTTAAGAAACGTGAACCGAAGTTGGCTTCGGCTGAAAGTTTTTTTAGTAAGAAGTCATGGCACACACTATCAAATGCCTTTGAAATGTCCGTGTAGATCAAGTTTACCTGTTTTCCTGATTCCAAAACTTCCGTTAGGAACTGTTGGTAGACAGCAAGATTTGTAGTAGTGGATTTTCCCTTGTAGAAACCGTGCTGTTCGTTAGCAATGTACATTAAGCATGAATGTCTCAATAATTGTGCACATCAGTGCTATTTCCTATCTATTTGTGGATGAGAAAAAGTGTTGAGACTTTTCAACTTCTGACAAAAATGCCAGTATCGAAAAAAAGGCGGAAAATTTATTTCAGAGGTTTTATTAGAGATGTGCAACAGCCTTTAAGAACCACTAGGAAGAGACCATCCGGACTTCGGTTCAGGACTGTCTGAGGCATCGAAATCTAGACTTTTTATCTGTGTATTTTCTCGATTGAAGAGATGATCGGAGATATATATATATATTTCAAAAGGGACTGAGTAGTCTTCTTTGATTTCAACATCCTTGTGGTCAGAGTAACAAATCTTGAAGCGTGTGACTAAAAGTTCAGCAATTTGTTGAGGGTTCGCAGAACGGATATTGTTATAGTAAAGATCTTAAATGACTGAGAAGTGTTTCATATTTAACAGAATTTTAAATGCTGAGCTTTGGTAACATGTTAAAGATTCGATTTTTATGTGCAATTAATTTTTTAAGCTCAGAGCTCAGAACTCAGACCTTGATGTTTTTTTTTGGGAACATACTGAATAATTTCTTGCTGTATAACTTCGTGCAAACTAGCGACTGGTTCGTTGGGGTCACTTGTACATAAACACAGATTCCAGTCAATACTGTTAAAGTAATTATGTTCAGTTCCATATAGCTCGCTTATTTAAATAGGTACCCAGGTAGTAGAAGAGGATCTTCGACTTTTAGCGTTTGTCTACTTCTGTATGAGAAACTAAGCTCCAAAGGTGGATGTATATCAACCACCCTACACAGCGGAAAGTCACTGGTTTGGGTTACAGGTAGAGAAAGTTCAATTGCGAAACTAAGATCCAGGGATCTATTGTAGGTAGGTAGCTGTTTTTCACATTGTTAAGCTGCTGAAGTTCCTTGAAAAACATTGAAGTCGCCGAATATGATAAAACTGGCATTTGCATATTTGTTTTTCAATGATTCACATACACAAATGACCTATAAGTCATCTCAGGAGAACTTGGAGGGATATGTATGCTGATCCAGTGACAGATACAGTGGGTGGATCCATATATTTGCTCAAATTCAATAAATTTTTCAGTCGGTATAATCGAAGACTGAAAGTTGCTGTCTAGCGTTATTGAAACTCCCCCTCCTCGATCCGTGTTGGTTGCTGCATAATCCCAATCGGCTCAGAATATTGTGTAAAAGGAGGGCAATGCAATAATTCGGAATTGTTCATTGTTGAAATAGGAATTTAGCCAGATTTCAGTGAGGAATATAATATAACTTTAAAGTCGTAATTGCAGCTAACAACATTTCTAAAGAGTCCATGTGTTTTTGTTATTTTGTTCTTAGGCCACCTATATTTTGGTAGTTAAAAATGAGAGAAAACGGGGTGGTCCATGCTGTGGGTTTTCTCGTGGATTTCTATTGAGGGTTGTGAGTGTTTTTCGTTTTAGAAGTAGATAAAACTCTAGATTTCTGGCAAGTCGCAACGGCAATACAATTAACATATATGTGAATGGAAAACAACCGAAAATAACAGTTACATGACAAGAATCTTAGCCAATCAATATAAACAAGAAATAAAAACTAAACAATCAAAAAATACAAAGGAGACAACTGTACAATCAATAAAATAGACAAAGACAAGAAACAATTAAACTGGATAAAAACCTAATAAAATGTCTCCGTAAAATGTATAAAGACTATGCAGGTTCTGAAGTAACAAGATTTTCTCCAATTTTCCAGCAAACTTTTTACTTGTACATATACAGAAGTTTTGTTGCTGCTCTGCAGTGCTTTGTATCATGACTATGGACCTGGGTGTTAACTGTTAATTTGTTTTTTAAATAGGAGGGTGCATTACCTAGGTACTTTCATTTTGGGAATAAAAACCAAGATGTTGTACCTACTGAAAAAATTCTTGCACTGGGAGCCATTGCAGTTGTCCAAGCATGGTTTTAATGACAGTGCACTTATCACATGATAATATCATATATCATCAGTTTTACATCTTTTGTAAGCGGTTTATTTCATTTTGCTACAACAAATTTAATATAAAATTGTTGCACAGATGTAAAGTGTAATAATACGTAAGTACCAATGCATTAAAGACTACTAACTTTCGCCATCTTATTATGTTAACACTCTATGTATTTTGCAAAGTAGAATAGGGAAACTTGGACCCCCTGTATAAAAAACCTAAGACCTTTATCAAAATATTTTGTTGTTGAAAATAATCTCTTATAAAATGCTGTTTTTTATTGAAGATTTAAAACGCCAATGAACCTTTTCTCTTTTTTAACTATAGAATTTGTTAAAAATTGTCAGTTTCTTGTAAATCTCGAAAAGTATAAGTTGCTCCCTCTCAAAAATGCCTGGACATAGAATTTCCGGTTTTGATGAAGCCAGAATAATCGCTCTACACCAACAAGACTAGTCAAATCATTGGATTTCAGCGAGACTTGGCTTTCCCAGATCGTCTGTCTTCAGAATAGTGCAATTGTTCCAAGAAACTGGAAATGTGAATCTGGTAGTGGACGTCTTTACAGTGTTACGTGTTACAGATGAGAAGGAGGATCGATATTTAGCTAATTTTGTTTGGCGTAATCGGAATATCATTATTACAGCGATAAGAACACATTTCAGACGAATGTACGGTACAACGGTAGACTCATTTCCAGGCCTACAATGCGGCGAAGGCGGGCTGGTGCCAATTTGCGATAAAGAAGACTAGAGGGCACAGAGCTGACCACTTAGAATGGAGCCGAAATCACAGAAACTGGCTTTTACCTCAAGGGAGAAATGTCTTTTTCTCTAAATAGTTCTGATTTGGACTGGCAAGTGACAGCCACCGTGTAAGGATATGCAGTTTGGCCTTTCCTCAAGAAGTGGTTCCCTATCAAGGAGAGACAGTAATGATTTGGCGGGGCATTATGCATGGTTACCGCACTCCTCTTATTCACATACCAGACATGCTGACGCGAAACATCTACCTTGAAAAGGTTATCAGGCCAATTGTTCTATCCTGGGGAAATGAATTTAGGCCAAATTTTATTTTTATGAATGACAACGCTTGCTCACACCGCACTAGCAGGATCCAAAACGTGTTATTTGAATCCAATATCGAAAGAATGAACTGGCCGGCAAATGAACCTGATTGAGCACGTGTGGGATATGCTTTCCGAAGCCATATTAAGAGGACCAAACCCATCGAGAGCTGATTGTGGCGGCACAAGAGGAGTGGGACAATATTGGTCAAGAGCAGATAGATAATCTGATTCTCTCAATGCCAAGGCGGGTCAATACATGCCTCGAGAATAGAGGAGATGATCACACTGATTATTGATTATGTTATCATTTACATCCACTTTATCGGTTATATAAAGCACAAACAAACGAGGGCCTAACACACTCCCTTGCGGAACTCATTGGGAATTTGCCCAAACATTTTTCCATTCAATTTTAAAAGTTGTCTTCTGTTTGTTAAGTAACTACGAAACCACTTCAGTACTCTTCCAAATTTTTCCATCTTTTCAAGTTTGTCTGTCTCTATCTATTGTCTATTTGCCTCTATCTATTGTGTCAAAAGCTTGTGTACCTATCCTTTTGGAAACCCAGATTGATGTTCAGTAATTAAGGTAAAGTTTCTCAGATACTCAATAAATTGACTATACACAACTTTTTCAACAAAGTATTGACTGGGCAATAATTTTGTGAGAGATGATGTGTCAAAATCGTTACCACAAATCGTTACTATGAATTTCTGAGACAATATCATGAACGCTTTGAATATAAAATCTTATTTTCTTCTTATTTCACCATTAAAAGTCTATCTCAATTTCTGATGTTCAGCTTGTTCTAAAAAAATAGCCTTTTTTCTTCTCTGATAATCTTCACCACCGCAGTTCTATTATGTTTGTTTATAGTCATGCTCATCCTTTCGTTATCGTAAGCATTTTGGCACCCTATGTTAAAAGATGATGGACGATGTTACTACCTCACCCAAAATATGTTTTATAGGTACCTATATCATAATTTATAATAATAATAAAATTAGCATTATGTACTGCAATCCTCGACAAACCATAATCTAAATAACGGTTAATTTAAAATCTAAAAATAGGTATGGTGCAGCTGGCTAGAAATCACGGACATTGAATTTTCTTGAACTCAAACTATAGTTGAATTACAAAACTATCCTGGTAAATTTTCATTATTTAATTCATTTACTTGTGATTTCAGTATGATGCTACTTTTCAAATTGGAAACTGACACCCAGAGTTGTTTTTGAGAAGAAAAAATCGAGAGTGTCGATTATCCCAGCTATCCAGAAGATTTCCTTTCAATTTATGTTGTGTTAAGAAAAATATTTTCAACTTCAAAGGACACAATTTGATAATTTTATATTGTCCTTATGCAAAGAAAAAATGCACTTTTAGGGGTCTCCAAATGTTTGGAGATACTCTGCAATAGAACTGATTTATTATATTTTAGGGGCCACTAATGGGACTTTTCCCAGGGTTGTTTTTCCTTTATGTAACACCTCTAATAAATTAAGGTGTAAAATTTTATTTTTATCCTCTCCTAGTTTAGCTGTAATATGTATATTAATGTTTATAATTTTATATATCTGAATAAACTGACTGCTCAATATGTATTAGAAAATCAATATATTATTGTACAAAGAAACCCTAAACAGTTTTCAAAAAAAAAGTTTATTTATTCAACATTGCTAATTTCTTCAAGGATGCAATTAACAAAAAAAACCTAATTGAAATTATTGAACTTAACCTACAAAGCCATATTTCGACCTTCAATAGAAATTTCCACTGCCCGTTTTGATGATTGTTTCAGCCTTTTATTATCCAAAAAGTTTTTGTAATGCTTCTCGAATCGATTCAACCCCTTTTTGGTTTGCTAATGAATAAATAAATAAATATTTGTAATATTTTTAATAAAACAATTCTTACCCTGCTAATATCGACTTCGCTTTGCCATTTAGGCCTGACGAGGTAATCTTTGCTTGACGGTACCGGGACTCTTGCACGTGCCACCCAACCCTTTTCACCTGGTCTTAAAGGCCTAAATAAAATGATATTTATATTATAAAAATCAATAACAATTCAAAAAACTTACTTTCCATCAGCATTAAGTGCTGTAGCTAATTTTGATCGTTCCTTTTCAGCTTGTTCTTCGTTTTTTCTTTTTCTAGGACCCCTTTGTTCCATGTCGCGTTGATATCGTTCCTCTTTGCTGAGAGCTTAAATATTTAAAACAATTGGTGTGTTTTATCAGACACACACAAAAAAAACAATACCTTTAAAATCAGTGGACAAGTTGAAAATGGGCCTGGCCCATTCGCTGATTAATTTACCAGCTTTTTCCTTGTTCTCTTTAGTTTCCTTGGGATGTTTGTAAAGGTACATTACGGCTTTACCTATTCCCGAATGCTTCAAGGTTTGTTGGTCTACGGGTGGGAACTGAAATAAATATTAAAAAAACAAGTTAAGCACAAGAAATCGTGTTTCATCAAATTTTGATTTTTGTTTTTTAATGTATTGAATTTCAATTTCAGTAGATTTACCATAATAAAAACCATCCATTACCTATATGATACCATATTATGGATAAGTATTATTTTTCTGGACATATAAAAATCTCAGAAAACTCTTCTGGACCTTTTCAATAAAATTTACATTGACCATAATAGATTGTTGAAATTTAAATCGCCCTGCAAGTGTACTTCCAGATCCTCAAATTCGCTTTCTCTACTGAATTCGAAATCATTAAATAGGTATTATTCGTCGATATTTTTGATAAAATCCCAAATAGCCGATTGAGATATTATTTATTTATTTATTAACATCACATCATACTTACTTCAGCCAGTAGCTTCAAAATACTCTCTCTAACTTGCAAAGAAGGCATCGACCGATCAGGCATGGGAGCCAACCAATCTGTAAGCACATTTAGAACATTGTGCTCGATAAAGGCCAATTGCAGATCATGTTTTTTCAATTGCGACATCACCGTTTTCAGCATGGCCATTTTCTTGATGGCAGGCCTTTTCTCCTGATTCAAATGCCTGTCTTCTTCTGCAGCGTTGCGCATGTCGGCCAACAGCTGAGCTATAATGTCGTCATTGTCGTTGATAATGTCAATGTCTTTGCGTTTTCTGCGTTTGCCTTGTTCTTCTTTTTTTCTTTGCATCATCAATTCGAAATCTGATATTCCTTCGCTGTTATGGCTGTGGAACGACAGAAATTTTTTTATTGGGAAATGATTCAAAAAAAGTCTGTACTAGTATTGGCTTAATAAGAATTTGTGCCTAATAATTAGGTTTGTTTGGATTTGTCTAGAGTTGGTAAAGGTAAAAATACCAAAAACTTTAATATATGAGAATTGCAATAGAAGACAAACTTCTGTAATTTAGAAAAAATTATCGACTCTCATTAATCCAACAAACAATTCCCAAACAAACCTTAAGTAATCTATTGCTAAAATTCAAAATATTACAACCGAAACTTATCCAAGTAGTTCTACAGTCTAGTAAAACTAAGACATGCACAAAATTGAATACAATTTTTTTGAAAATTACCCATGTATGTACTGCCTGCTGTATTCCAACAGAAATTTTCAATTAATCATAAACTAACATTTTAAAAAAAAAACGAATTAACTTACGCATTAGAATCAATTCCTTCATCTGAATCTGAATCTCCTACTTGAGGAGGGGCAGCAGCTGCAGAAGCCTCACCTTCTTCCTCCTGAGGTGGCTCCTGTGAAGGACCAGCATCCGCTTCTTCATTATCACTATCAACAATCTTAGAAACTTTGGATTTCTGAGCTACACCTTCATCTTCCGAGTCAGAGTCCAGCAGCCTCTTGTTTATTCGATTAGCGCCAGCATCCTCGTTGGATCTGGACCTGGATCTTGATTTTTTCGATCCAGCCGATCTGGATCTTGATCTAGACCTACAAAACTTTAATGAAAAACATATTTTAATAATCAATTTTTAGTACCTTGATTGTGATCTTGAGCCTGACCTGGATCTTCTAGAACCTGATCTGGACCTGCTTCTGGAGCCAGATCTGCTTCTTGATCTGGACCTGCTTCTGGAACCGGATTTTCTGCTTCTTACCGAGCCACTACGGGATCTCGATCTGCTTCGGTTACTGTAGGCTGAACCACTTCTTGATCTCGATCTGGATATATTGCTGCGGCGACTTCTAGCTGAGCCACTTCTGGATCTAGATTTTCTGCTTCCTGCACTTCTAGATCTAGATTTTCTGTCATTTGATCCACTACGAGATCTAGACTTTCGGCTACGGTTGCTTATAGCTGAACCACTTCTGGATCTAGATTTTCTGCTATGAACACTTTTATTTGATCCACTACGAGATCTAGACTTTTGGCTACGGTTGCTAATAGCTGAACCACTTCTAGATCTAGATTTCCTGCTATTGACGCTCTTAGCTGATCCACTACGGGACCTTGATTTTCTGCTGTGGTTGCTAGCAGCGGATCCACTTCTGGATCTAGATTTTCTGCTATGGACACTCTTAGCTGATCCACTGCGAGACCTTGATTTTCTGCTATGGTTGCTAGCAGCGGATCCACTTCTGGATCTAGATTTTCTGCTACTGACACTTTTAGCTGATCCACTGCGAGATCTTGATTTTTTGCTATGGTTGCTAGCAGCAGATCCACTTCTCGATCTAGATTTTCTGCTATGGGCACTCTTAGCTGATCCACTGCGAGATCTTGATTTTCTGCTGTGGTTGCTAGTAGCGGATCCACTTCTAGATCTAGATTTTTTGCTGTGGTTGCTAGTAGCAGATCCGCTTCTAGATCTGGATTTTCTGCTATTGACACTTTTAGCTGATCCACTAAGAGATCTGGATTTTCTGCTGTGGTTACTAGCAGCAGATCCACTTCTAGACCTAGATTTTCCGCTATGATTGCTGGCAATACTCTTGGCCGATCCACTACGTGATCTGGATCGTGACTTGCTTCTAGATCCAGATTTTCTGCTAGCGTTACTGACAGCTGAACCGCTTCTGGATCTGTTGCTATGAGCGGAACCACTTCTGGATCTGTTGCTACGGGCAGAACCACTTCTTGATCTGTTGCTATGAGCAGAAACGCTCCTGGATCTATTACTCTGAGCAGAACCGCTCCTGGATCTGTTACTTTGAGCAGAACCACTTCTGGATCTGTTGCTGGCTTTGCTGCCACTGCGAGAGCGTGATTTTCTTGGGGAAGTATTTCCGTTTTCCTTAGGGGATGGTGAACGACTTTTGGCTGAACGGTTTGAGTCTGCCGAAGGGGATCGCGATTTTGATTTAGCGGTGATCGATTCGGAACCTTCTGCAAAATGATAAAATGCTATTTCGAAAAGTTTTTCAGAAGTTTGTTTTGAAACAAGAACAATGGTTGGATGATTCTTAAACAGATCCAGCAGATATAAATAGACACTGATCAGTTTTTATGACCACGTTTCTGCAAATTTTTAATCAGTGTCGAAGTGAGACCATTGATGAATGACACAAAAATTGAATAATCTGAACTACTCATCTGGTTGGTTAAATAATAATTTTCTACTTAGCTTATACGCCTGTTATAGGAGCAGCTAGAAGGTTTTCACATCAATTATATAATAGAGTGAGATATCTACTGTATTATAGCCTTACCAAACCACACCTGAGATACCTCATACCATGTTAGGGAAATGCCAGTGCTCATCTCATAAATAAGTTGCAAGAAGGTTGCAAAAAACGCAAAATCAACCAACCGCTGCCATATTATTGGACCATCAGGCTAAAGTAATTACAGGGAATCCCTCATTGTATTTCTATCTGGGCTGGAACTCTATCAGATAGAGATTGTTATCCCTATGGCTATGGCACTTGCTGTCTTCTCTGTTTTGGAAATGAATAGAGAAAGAACGTTAATAGAGAAATAGAGAAAGAGAAAATATCTCTATTCATTACAGAGTCCCAGCCCTGCATACCTATCACCTAGGTATTTAATGTGTAGGTGAAAAAATCCGGATTATCTGAGCTAGGGTACAGTACAGTACAGCCCCTATTAGCTCGGCTCAAATAAACTTACCTTTTTTGTATTGTCTGATAGCTAAGTGCTATAAATTAGAAAATGGGACTTTATTGGAGTCTTTTGTGTGTGTATAATATAAACTATACGCTAATCAAGGGGAAAATGCTTCTTTTACCAACCTGTTTCTACCTCCATTGCCGATTTCCTGGTTATTGGGAAATATAGCACTTGATTTACAACAATATTAATCAAATATAGTCACACCTAGATTAGTTATAGATATCATAAGTTTCTAATGAAAACAGTGAACAGAAACTGATTAATTTTAAACAGTAAAATTCACAAATATAAAGTGTTTTTTTTTGTAGAATATGCAAAAATCAATGAACAAAAATAGATGCAATTGAACGAATGTCAAATGTCAATATTTCAATCATGTCAATCTGGCAAAAGATGAGGTCTAAAGGCGAATTCAATTGGCGAAAAAAGTGTCGCACTGGTGCTGATCTGGCACTCATTTAGGTCATGTGAAATAAGTTAATGGTTATTTTTCCCTATTGCGAAAAATAGCTGAAAATGAGTTTTTAGGACAACAATCAGGACACCGATTATAAAATCGAATTAAAAAGTTCATTTTTGGTACAAATTACAGTGCCTGTCCAAATCTGCTTGGAGCAGAGAAATGAAAGCCCCTAACTCTAACGCCTAAGTTCCGATATCAACTCTCAGTACTGAATTTACTGGACGCCGTTCCGATATTATTTTCAGTACACTGGATTCAGTCGATTCAGTACTGAATAACCACAAGAGTACGCTGTTGAAAACGGAACGGCAAATGACAGTAAAATCAGCACAGTGAATCCAGTACTGGCAGTTGATATCGGAACATAGCCCATAGCTGTTTATGGTTGCCACCGTTTGAGCGCTCCCGAGTTACTCCGATGTACTTCGGCTACAGTCTGACCCGTTCGGTTTCAAGCGTTCGAGTGCAAAACGCATGGAATATGACCAATGAACTATGACAGATGTGAAGTGTTCTAGGAGCTTCGCACTCTGCACCCGAAAGCGGCTCATAAGCCGCTTTCCAGGGACCTTATTCTGTAGGAACGAACCGTTCGATTCGGTAGAATTTTTTCGATTGTGACGTCATTTTCGTTTGGTTTTCGCGCTGCCAAACTGAAAATTTTTCATGTTAGCTTTTTATGCAACATGTGTGTAAAGTGACAAGTGACAATCGACAATCACATGAGTGAAAAACCTAAAATAGGTATTTTCCTACGAGCGTGCGGAAAACGCGTTTTCACGCACTGATTTGCGTGCGGAAAGGACCACTTTTCCACACTGCGTGCGTGAATTTTTTTTTACCGCACGGCGTGCGCGAAAAAAGTTTTTCACGCACGCAGTGTGGAAAAGTGGTACTTTCCGCACGCAAATCAGTGCGTGAAAACGCGTTTTCCGCACGCTCGTAGGAAAAGGGATTTTACACACATTACATACAACATTTTTTCTACCACCCCCCTTTCAATTTTGGGGGTTGACAAGTAGGGGGTGAAAATACCATTGAAAAGTGTACCCCAAAAAAACAACGTGTGTGACGTGTCCGAGTGATTTTTGATTAATCACCTAACCTAACCTGCTAACACCTGTGTAGTAAGGTAAAAAGTTTTTCGTGCTCCACAGGATAGAAAATACAACGTTGCCAAATAGGATAGAAAATACCACGTTGCCAAATTTTCACTTCTTCCCTAAGTTTAATAAATCGTACAGGGTGTCCCATTTTGGTTGTAGGTATACGTATAAGGGATAACTCGGTTCTCGCCTTCTATTGGAGTTGGAAGGATGCGGTTTACGGGGTAACGCGAACGTGGGCTATTTTTTGTCAAACGAAAGATGCCGCCGTGAATAGAATTAATGGCCCTTTCTTCGTTTTTCGAATACTATACGAGGTGTTTTTGAAAATGTTGCATTTTGAGACACCCCTTATATCTCGGTTTTGTCATAAGTAATCGAAAAGGTGACAAATGGTTCTAGTATAGTAAAATCCTTCTACGCAGATTCCAGTGGCGTAGTCAGTTTTTCTCTAGAAGTGATAGTTTTTAAATCTATGGTTGAACCAAATCCAAGCGGCAGTAAATGACAAACTGGTCATTTTCATTACAACCTATCAAATGTCTTCCGTGCATGCGCACTAGTCCAGGTAGGACGTTTCACTCTATGTTTCAACCAATAGGAAGCAGGGCCGTAGCTAGAGGCTGGTCATGGAGGGGGTTCGGCAAGAAAAAATCGGTTTAAGTTAGAAACAACAATATTCTTATATAAAAAAGTTCATATGATTACATTGCGTTTTTTAGACAGAATATAATTATGACATCCTTGAACCTAACATTAATTTCTCTGTGAACTGACATTAGAGAATTTCTTAGCCAAGATTTAAGGTGACTTATGGCCATTTGCACCGACCATTTTAAGGGAGGTTTAACGATAATCAATGTTCAAAGTGACATATTTACTAAACGTTAAACCTACTTTAAAATGTTCGGTGCAAACGGCTACGAGTCGAAAAAGATCTCTCTGGTGTTACCGTAGAGCAAGGTAAAGTTGCTAATATTTGTAAAAGATCTTTAATAATCGGAAAAAAGGACTAGTCTGTATTTAAAAACGCTTCAATGGCCGTCCTTGGCAAATGGTTACCACTACCACTACACTACCAATATCATTATTAGTCCATTTCTTTTGCCACATATCTAATTCAGCTGTGAATAAAGAAACATTTTTGTCATATAATTCAGAAATAGGTTTTCGAGAAAATAGAACCATAAATCACAATGTCTTTATTGTAAAAATTAAATAAATCAAATAATCAAAAACTGAATTCCCGGTATTTCCAAATCACAATCTATAAATTAAAAATGGAACAAATTAATGTAACCCTAAATACATTCGTAATTATATTATTTCGTCAGCCCGCGTGATGTCATCTCCTCTAAATCATATATCAATGAACTTTTTAAACGAGGCCAGGTTAATTAAATCGAAGATTTATGGCATTTTTGAACCTAAAATATCCGTGACCCCGATAAATCAGGATATTGCGACATAATTATTCGATTTTAAACTAAAAATTTCAAGGAAATTGCATCATCTTAATTGTCATGGGCAAAGATAGTCGGGGGGATCGAAAAATATAAATACCGCGGTTTTAGAAGTGGAAGGCAGTTGTCAGTTGAGTTGCCAGTTGTTAGCAGTTCAGTTCAGTTTGAGTTAAAGTCTACATTCAGAAGGGTTGAAATTCGCGAAAAGTTCTTATTAAGGCCTCGGAGAAAACGCGTTCGATTTAACTTAGAAAAAGTACGGAAAATTATGAAAGAAATAACATAACTTTATTGCATAACCCGAATTGCGATCACCGAACACGTGTTAACACAAACAAACCATGTCATCCGTTTCGACCGGACTCAAGCATTGGATAGAACCTAGAACCAAACATTTTTACACCAGACTTCACAGAAAAGAAGAGGGCATGAACCTTAATAAAAGCTGGTTGCCAGTTCTCCGAAAAACAAAGACCCTTCCTTTCTGAGAACGAGACAAGAAAAATACTGTAATACAAGCCACGCCCACCCACAACCCTGGATATAAATAACGCAGGTCCAATGTCCAACAACGACGAATCTAGTCATCGGAGGAACACGGAAGAGAACACTTCGTCCTCTACCACACCGCCTCTGAAGATGTCTACCGCAGCAGTAGACGAAACGTTAGGTAGAAATATCACTCGACCACGGCATTATAGCCCGGAAAAAACTTTTCTACTAGATTTAACCGGCCGTGAAAGCCTTCATTCTTTATCCAAAATACATTTTCAAAAACACCTTGTATCTGAAAAACATAAAAGGCGATGACAGTTCTGTTGGTGGCATCTTTCGTGTGACAAAAATATGTAGCCAGCGGTCGTGAAAACTGCAACCTTCTTACTTCAATAGCAGCCGAGTTATCCCTTAGGCTTAGGTATAACCAAAATGAGACACCCTGTACATACATAAGCTGGTAACGCCGCATAAAGGGTGAAGGGTCCTACCAACTCAAATATAGAGTCTCAAACCCCTGGGGGTTTGAGAGTCCTTCGTACCTATTGATCAACTTCTGAATACCCCTCTAGCTGTCCACCAGAACAGAGAAGTATAAAATTTCACGGTGATGAAATAATCTAGCGAATAACGGAGCTATCGAGAATTGACGTCCATCGGAAATTTCTAGAACGGAATTAATTAGAAAATTATAAAAAGTGCTATAAATAAAAGATGTCAGCCACATCAGGGCAAATCAGTTACCTACAAATCGAAGAGTGAAGTTGATGTACATACCTGGGCCCGTATTCTCGTCACCAGGGAACAGCGTTCTCTCAAGAGAACAATTGCTCTGTCTTAGTCACCCATATTGTTATTTCCATAATACTAACAAAGACAGCGCATTCGTTCTCTTGAGAGAACGCAGTTCCCCGGTTACGAGAATACGGCCCCTGGTGTCGATTTTCAGATGGGTATCGTCGGTATCGAAGACCCACCTAAAGTTAAGGGCTCGTTTTATTGAAAATTTCGAAAGAGCAAAGGTTGAAGAGAAAAACAAAGAGATGACAAAAAAAAAGGAAAAACAACGTACGACTCCATAGAAAAATTTGCAAGAGCAAGAATATAGCCGGAAAAACATAAGGTAGACAGGCTACAGCTGGCACAGATAAAATGACAAAAAAAAAATGTGAAAAAGAGAAAACAAAAAGCTATTAACAGAATCTCCGGATTGTTCCAGGACTGTACATAACGCAGAAATAAAAAATCTATTAATTTTACAATATTTTTAGTATATGTAAACCGTAAACCGTATATTCTTTATTATGTAGGTACCTAGGACTGCCTGTCTAGTTAATTTCTCAAAAAGCTCTGTACAGTTTTTGTTGAATAAAGCCTCATTTCGAAAGGTTGCTAAAGTTTTATATTAGAATTTATTTCACAAGAAAAAAATAAAATTGGAACAAGCTCTACTTACATCATGAATGGGAAGATTGGCTGCGGACATTTGAAATTTTTTTTTCTTCCATAGAAGAGTGAACAGTAGTGATGTGATGATGAATCTGTAGAACAATATGCATTAAAACAATTTGGGAAGAGTTGTAATTTCAAATCAAGAACTACCTATGAGAATAGGGATAAATTTATTCGAGATGCCTTTATCAATACACTCCACCAACATCACATTCGACCAAGCTTTTGGAAAATCATATAGACTAGACTAGAAGAGGCTGGAATCACAAGCATCCTTAGAATCAGCGTTTGTATCACTTTAGATGATAATTCATCAAAACTTTGAATAAGAATTCCGAGTTGCTTCTACTACTTCAATGCTATTTTTGTGGGAACATCCAACAATTTGATGTCCTGCCAAGAGACAGCACTTGTCGGAGCTGTATAACACAAAAGGGCAATTCACTAGATTCCAATTAATCACAACTATTCGCCGATAATCCGCTAATAATAATAAAATACCGGTTTCATGGTCGTTAACACGTTATCAGTCGCAAAACTGATAAGCTAAGACAATAAATATTTTTCCGATATAATATACTGTGTACCTATCAGTAAATTAAAAGCTCGTCTTCAATTTCAAAAATAATAATAATACATTTGAGAAGTTTGATTAGTTTTTATTGGCTACTCAGCGCGAGTAGTCCAATAGGTATAAATAGTGGTAAAAAAAATGGCTTTGAGTCGGCAGAGACAAAGATTCGGTAGAGTTGTGGGATTTATAGTAATGGTAAGCACAGAAATTATATTGAGACAACGATTTCTGCAAACTTTACTGCTGAAAAACTGTTCTATTTGTATGAAATTGGGCAAGATTTGAGGCTAAGATTGATTACAAATATACTATAAAGTGTTTAAGTTAGTTTTCACTCAAGTGTTAAGACTTGGATGGATCCGATAATAAGATAGGAAAATCCAATAATGTATTTCATATTTATTTAAGCTAAAATAATAGGTAAATTGTATAGGTAGCTAATCCATCAATATCCATATATACTAGGGATTAGTTTATTATTTAGTGGTAGCTCATGTAAAAAAATGATTAGATGTTCATTGTGATATTTGTCTCAATATTTATCTTCCTTGTATTTATTCAAAATCACAGCCACCCATGTTCCAATTGTTCAGAAATTGAAGTAGAAGTCCTCTTTAAAAAAAAAACACACAAACAGCCACTTACATCATAAATTGAATTGAAATCAAAAATACTAATTATGGTAATCTTAAGTGTATAGGTACTTTGACATATTAATTTATATAAGTGTTTTAATCAGAGTAGAATAGATACTTGAAAAATAGAACAAAAAAACTGAATCTGGAAATGGAAAGAAGAAACTGGAGTTAGTAATTCAGTTTTCAAGATCATTTGAAGTTGTGTATCTACATCATGATTTCTCCAAGAAGAAAGCTTTCTGATTCATCAGTCCAAGAAACTGTCAGTAAACCAAGCTGCATCACTCTATTTCAAGTTACTTAGAAAGTAACTCATAGAAAACTATATGAATCACATTTACTTAGGTACACATCTAATAAAGAGGTATCATAAAAATCAATAATATCAGTAGATTATTATGGATTTTGTTAAGTTATCTAGGGTAATCTCTAAAAATAGGGAAAATGCTATTATTATTTTTACTTTTAAGTCATCTTGTTACTTGAACTAATTAATAAGTTACTTAATTGCTTTTAATCCTGCCCTTGATATCTGGATGAATGGCGTCTACGTTTAATGATAGGTAACTTATTTGCAATTTGTGTCAGGGAATTTTCATTGTTTTCTTCTACGTCGTTATTTGGTATCTTGTATCTTTCTTCCAAATAATAATAGTGTGTATTTTTCCTTTTTCTGTTACTGTTTTATCGTTTTCCTCTGTTTTGGAAAGTTCATCATCCTTTGACTCTGCTATTGTTGAATTCACGATAGAGTTTGAATTTTGACCGTTATTTTCACCAGTTAAATGTAAATAAAATCCCCAGATTAGATTTGTCTCTTTTTTTGTCAACTATCAAATAATGATACATGACATTTCGATTTGACATATAAAAATATCAGATTCGGGTCTTTGAATTTTGAATTTCGAATTTTTGTGTGAAATCGTTTGATTTTTGCCGTTTTCTGCATTATTTTTTAATTTGTTATATTCGCAATAGGTTCTTTGATTTTTTTATGTAGTATTCTGTGCCTTTGTGTGTCGGTGTTGCGTTTCAAACCTGGTTTTAGTTTGGATTTAAGTGTTTAATGTTTTTATAAGTGTTTACTTTGGACTCTAATTTTTGGATTTTTGGATTTTATTAACTTAACTTCCTTTAAAGAAATTAAAAATAATTTCTTATTCTGAAATGTATATATCACTTTTCTAAATACTGACGGAATCGATGCGCTAACGCATGCTAAAAACCTAAAGAAAAAGTTACTAGAAATGTCAACGCGAACTGTCAACTTCATTTTCTATCGTGATTTCAACTTTACTGTTTCCTCATTATTATGTTCTGGTGATTCTAATGCAAACAAAACAATGCCCCAAGCGATAGGAATAATAGCCCGTCAGAATCTTGAAAGTTTCTATCAGATCACCCTAGTTCTTTTTTGATTTGTTAGTCAAAATCTTTCCAAGTCTTTCAATTGGTATGAGGTAGTCCTCTCAATTCTAATGGCATTCTGGTACCCCGCCTTTGGATTCTTTCCAAAATTTCAATATCCTTGATGTAGTAGGGATTCCAAATACATACCCGTATTCGATTTTTGGTCGGATATATAGCAGACGTACCGTACAACTTCCTCACGATCTGGAAAGAGTTATATTTAAAGGTATTTTATATTAAATAGAGATAAAACGTTTGGAATGAACTTATCTATTGTGGAGTTCAAAACATTCTCAATATCATTTTCAAGGGCATTATAGTGGGTGTGACATTTTAATTATTAATACTAATGTAGTCAGCAGCTGTATCGAAAAATTTGAGAATGAGAAGGTAGGTACATTTACCGCTTGAAAAACAATAATTCACCAGGAGAAGATGAGAGGATGAGAACTAGGAAGCTTTCATATCAAACAGTGGAGAGAAAGGACTAATCAATCTACACTTCAATGAAGGACTTACAAAACAAAAAATTGAGTGAAGTGAGTCGAATATAGAAGAAAATTTCCAAAGAGAAATAGTCGATCAAGGTCTACAATGTATTATACTGTCAAAAAGTTTGAAGCCAGATAAAAATTTCGTAGAAAAAAACGATCCGTTACAAGAAACCAAGATCAATAAGATCTAGAAATATTTTTATATTTCCAACTTGAATATTGACTCTATAAATTTCTAAATGTTCAAAACTTAAGGGATAAAAGTTAAAGTTTTGTAGGAAAATGTTGGTAAGAACTCAAGAGGAGCCATAATTTGTGAATAATCTCCTCTTCACGAAGTTATTTTCACTCCCGGTGATATGCTTAGCAGGGAGAATAAACACTACTTGGCAACCCGAAATCCGAAAAAAATCCAGTAGTAAACATCCAGGGACAAAAAAGTGTTCATGTATGTATGATGTGGCAAAGATAAAAGGAATAAAATTATTGGACCAGTTAATTTCAAGGAAATTTGAAAATGGGCTTCTATATCTCCACCTTTCAGAAAATGACATTGAAAACTTATTAGAAGAATTGCATTTTATAGATGAATAGTATGGCCCATATAATGTCTTACCAGTTACAGACTTCCTCAATCGTCACATTTGTTAACAGCCCTGAAGTGCGATTTTCGAAACCATTCGAGTACATTTCGTACACGAAATTTGACTGCTCCCCATTTAATTTACATTGCTGTCCGTCAAATTTCGTGTACGAAATGTACTCGAATGGTTTCGAAAATCGCACCCCTGATATGTCTCCGCTTGATTTTTTCCCCTTATGGGGATATTTGAAAAAAAAAAAAAGATGGAAGTACTACAACCAAAGTCATACCATCGAGGAGCTGACGTTGAAAGTACAAAATTAGATTATAACGTTAAATGAAGTTTATCATAATTTCATTAGGTACCAAAAGTTTAACACACAAATTAATGAAAAATTTAGAGAAATGTATTGATAATAAAGGCGGTTGAAGAGAGAATTTAATGAGAAGTAGTTATCAAAAGTTATTTTAATCAGAATTGATCACGAGAAACCCAGGTATCTTTATGAACCTCCTAATATTTTTCTAAAAATCTTAATCTTAAATAGAAATTGAAATATAAAAAGGTTTGAGTGAAACAAAGAGAAGAATTGATCAAATCAAGTGAATAAAATGGAAAATTTCAAAGTTCTCAAATAGTAACTGGAATTTCAGTTAAATCTTTAATTTTTGAAGAGAAGTTCTGATCGAGTAGCAATAAATTGAAAATAATTAAAATTGGCATGTGTAAAAATTACTCGAAATATTGAAAAGTTTCCCAAGTTCAAATTAAAATAATTCATAATTTGAAGAGGCTTCCCTTTTGATATGGGAATAACTTCTTAGTTATTTTTGACAATAGGGCCCTTTTACCTTATTGTCATTAGGTATATTCACAGTGCCATGCTAGAGGTGACAACTGTGAAGGGTGTTGTGTATAGAGTGTGGCCTCACACTCTGGATATAGGCTTGGGTGTTGTGGTATGTGAGTAATACACCAGAAGATGTTTTATACTGATTTATTAATTGAAATGAGCCGCTATTTATACATAAAGTTATTGTTGAATATAATACGTAATTTGGAACTATGTGATGATTTTGCACTTTGTTAACCCGATGAAATTGTGCTCTTTTTCCACCAGGAGTTATTTGTATAAGCATTATTGCGTCGATCAAAATTGTGTTACGGGTTGATTTTCCCCAGAACCTTTCACCATTGAAAGGACAAACAGAGGTCATTCAGGTAGAGGACTTTCCACAATCAAGTGTTCGGGAAAATTCCTCAGGCACATTTTGCCGATTTCTGAGTTGTCCAGCTTTCGCTCATAGATCTAGTTATTTTACCACCAAAGCGCCCTGCGCAGATTTCTTTGTGAGCCGAAAAAGAGCAACGTGATCAATTGTTTGTGCTATTCCAGTTCCTAAAGGCCAAAGTATTTTGGTCAGTGGTTTTTCTTATTAGTCTTGGACTAGTTATGGACATACCTACCTATCGCTCCACGCCCAGTCTCATAATGTCCATTTGTTTCAGGCTTTTAGTCGTCAAGCTTTAGTTCTTAACTTTGAGTAAAGAGTTAAACGTTAATCTTACTGTATATTTCAAGTCGTACCTCATGTCTTCAGCCTTCGCTAGACAAATGGCAGTTTTAGTGACTTCTAATTACTGAACTTCAGTGCCTAGGGCCAGTTGCTTCTTTTCGCGACCCTGATCCAGTCCCAGGCCATCGGAAACACTGGAAGATTTCAATCCAATCCTTCAGGTTCCCCTCAAGGGATTAAGGACTACTCAGGTTTGATAAGTGTGTTGTGTTTATTGTCTTAGTATCTGGAACCTATCAAACCTTACTAACCCCTTGTTGGAATAAATCACCACAGCGACGCAGTCTTCTACAATAGTAAATTTGCCTTCAGGTTATGTGTTGTTATTTCTATCTATATTAACTATATTAATTAGTAAATTTTGGATTAATTTTCTTTGCTTTTCCATCCATAGACGCGTTTCGACCTATATCAGGTCTCATCAGTATGGCTAGGAAAAGCAAAGAAAACCAATCCAAGTTTTTGTGCATGTATGCAAAATAGAAGTAGTAAAACGGTCGAAATTTGATCGTGGCGCCATAAATGGTCTTTTAACTATATTATATGAAAGTTGCCCTTCAGGTTATGTAGGTATTGTTACTTCAATTTTAATTAGGTGTTTATCTTTATTACCTATATTATTCCATAATATTAAATTCACCCTCCAGGTTACAGGTTACGTATTGTTACTTCAACTTCAATTAATGATCTATATCTCTCTAATATCCCATAAATACATGCTGCACTGAATACAGGAAAATACTTGTACACTGGGGTTAAAACGAAGGTACTGCATTTAGTAAGCTTGTCTATTGATTTACATTTCAGGTATTATTGCTGTTATAAGTGTTATACAATACTCTTTACTTTATTTAGGGACTCAAGTTGAGTGTAATTATTGTAAATACTATTTTTAGAACGTAAGGTTTGGTACTCCTAAGTCGATTTATTTTATTCTTGTTCTGGTTCCAGTGCTAATAATTTTCAGTGTTCCAGGACATTCGGAAAACCCACTCCGAACTTGCTCTAGAATCAAACCTGTTTTGGTTCTAATTAAACACCCGTACCTGATTGTAGCAAAGCGTTTCACTTCTGCCCTTTCTTCTTGTTTACTTTTATATTTCAGGTTGGGCTGCTATAGGTCCGTAGAAGTTTCCTGCTTCCGTTATATCGGTTGACTTCGTGCACTGCAGGGAAAAGCAGGTGGCGCTCTATATTCAATTATTTAATTGATCTACACCCCTCTCCGCATTGGAAGCTAGTCGGCAACCCTTCACACAAAGTCCCGTGTTTCTAGATTTTAGCCCCCGACCAACCCTCTCTCACTTCCTCAAATTTTATTATTTACTTTTCAATCGTGTTTTGCGGGTAACAATTGCTGCAATTTAGTTTCGATAATGCGGGTTATCGTTGTTATTTATTTAAATTGATTATTTAAATTGATTTGCTAATTAACTAATAACAATAATACAAAATTGTTTGTATAAAAATAGTTGTGTCACTGCGGGTCAAACTGGTCCATTTCATTTTAATGGCTAATTTTGGCTGCTTTTCAAGATTAGACATAATTAAAGAATTGCCAGTCTTGTCTCAAACCATCAATATCAAACAATAAGCACACTAGCTTGTGTCACCACGAGGTTCCTGAACCTGAAGATGAACGCATAAATTACCGGAACTACATTAAAAGTAAGACTAAAGTAATTAAATTGTGGGATCAAGTGACAGATTCATCTTAAAACATTATTTATGGCCGACACGAATTTCGACATCCTTTGATAAATCCGGCCACACATTTTTACGACATCCGTCGACCCCAATAATCGAGGAAATTGCGACATCTTCGGTCGAACAAACAATTATGTTTCTTATGGTTGTTTCCACCAACTATTTTAGGGGAGCCCTAACGATAAGTATTCCCTAAAATGACATTTTTACATAGAGAAATGTCAGTTTAAGGCATACCTACCTTTAGGGCTTCCCTAAAATAGTTGGTGGAAATGGCCATTAGAAATCTTGTCCGTGAGAAATTTGAAAAAGTAAAGAAAAGTTTTATCTATCCATTGACGGTCGCAAATCAAAAGGTTTGAAGAAACTTTTAAACGGTTGAACTACACTATGTGAATGCTCTAAGTGAACATGAGCATATAAAACTTTTGTATAAAAATGAAAACTGTAAGTTTCAAATAAAACCAGAAACCTTGTACATCATCAAAAAGCACTTTGTCCATCACTCCAAAAAGTACTTCCCGATACATTCTCTTCATGAGCAAAGCTCTTCTCTGGATCTAAACAAATAGATAGCACCATCAAAATCTTGCCAGCATGTAAGAACTTATGATAGAGATCATCAATAAAAGAGTCTACCAAACATTGAGGAAATATGAAAGATATTTTCTTGGAACTTACTTCACCTAGAACTTACCACTGCACATCTAACGCTTTTTTCATTATATTTTTAACAATGCATCTGTGGTAAAAATCATGAAGGTATCTTTATTTAGAATGAGCAATCCTCTGATACTTACTAAATATATATTTTTTCAGTTTCAAGGTGTAGCATGGTTCACCCTGTGCCTACTTGGGATTATCGTAAGAAAAACGCCGCCAGATAGTATGATGCAAGTTGTTACCTCGTACGAAAGCTACTCATATTACCTTTCCAGGATAATCTACCAAGAATTTTTCGGTAATTGAAACAATTTGTCCCAACCCCAACTAATAATTATGGGACAAACTTCTAGATAAAGGCAAAATCATTTTCTATATTCACATTTTTAGGTAAAAGCACCAGAACTTACACCAAAGTAATTAGACCTGCCGATTTCGAAGCCTTCCTTTGGATCTACGTTGTTCTTAGTGCAATTTGGGTGGTGGCTTCAATTGACCAAAATTTTGGTAAGACACTATATTGGGTCGATTTCATATTTTACTAACCAGAAAACTTGTAGCTCTGAGACAAAAGAAAATAAGTCACAGTCACCTCGCTTTAGTGCTCGGAGTGACCCTATTGGTGACTTCAGTAATTGATCTGGTACTCGTATGCTTGCTGGGAAGAGATTTTTTTAATTGTCCCTTAGATCTTGTCCTAACAACCGAAGCCGTAAGAGAAAACCTTTTCTGCTATTCAGCCTGCAGGCGGAATTGTACACATTTATGAATGTAAATGTAGTTGGTAGAATAGAAATGTTTGCTACAAATTCTGCTCTATTCAAATTTGGATGCACAATTCCGCCCGTGTTTTTCCACAATTTCTAAAACTAATGATCAAAATCAACTTTCAGATATCAACGACTACAGTTGCGACAGTGAAAACACCCCTAGACTGTCAACTAGCTATTGGAATTATCATGACGCTGGCTGCCAGAGGATACGTTTTATGGTTGCTTAACGCTGTGACTGGAATATGTTTGATTTTTTTTTCTGCCAAAGTAAATATACCAATAATTTGTAGCTTTTAACTTAAACTGGGTGGTTTTCATAATAAACTCAGGTTTGGGTATCTCTCTAATAGATGGCGACAACACTCAGATAAACATCTCTCTAATAGATGGTAGCACTGTTATTTTAGTACGCAGAACTGCTTGCGCACAAAAAATAATGGAGGAATGTTCTAATACTAATTCTGAACCGATTCGGAACTAAAAAAACCAAAAGAAGCCGCAAATCATGAAATTCCAAAACGGTTTCTCCTTTAGAGCAAAAACTGAGAGAACCGTTCTAGAACAATCCCAGAATTGTTCTTATATAGTTCTAAATAAACAAGAACGCTGTCAACACAGTTGGATTGCGATTCTGAAAAAAACGAAAACACGTTTTATAACATGCGCATGTGTAGAATGATTCCGAACTAGTTCTGAGTGAAACCAAAACAAAGTTCATGACTCTATTTTCTGTTCTAGGCTCTAAAAAAACCAGCTCTTCTCGCTTACGGAAACAAAACAATTCCAAGAGCCAAACTTGAAGACACGACAGCCCGAAATAAAAAAGCTCGTTCTCCGGCGAACAGCAGCGATTTGGTATTCTACGGTGATGAAAGGGACACACCACCAATACAAGATCCGAGAACTAGAGGCTCAATGCCTGCTGCGTTGAACAACAAAAACCAAAATATTTATTTTTGAATCACCATTGATTGATTGAATCGAGTTTGGTATAAAATTTATTTATTTTATTTATTTAAATAAAGTTTTGTTTGTTATTATAAGTATATGCTTTGTGAGTGCTATGATATCCATGTGAATACTAGGATAGGTATCAAGAATTATTTTGTCTCGTCGAAAAAAGGAAGACACGGCGAATATTGAAGCTTTCATAGAAGATAAGCTAAAATCCATAGAAAATTCAATTGCTTCAATAATAGCTTTAGAAAACACTGAGAACAGGAAGGTGAAGCAGTCTAGCAGTCTGTTGTGGGTCCCTGAACTGCTGGAGTTCCGCAGGAATCAGTGTTGGGACCCCTGCTATTCATCATCTATGTTAATGACCTTTCATACTCAATTCTCGAGGCCATTTTACATCATTCGCTGATGACACTGCCATTCTCTGGCATCACAGGAGCCCCATGAATCTTCGTGACATTGTTGGAATTGAGCTGAGGGCAGTTCATTGGCGGATCCACGGGGGGGGGGGGGGGTAAAGGGGGTAACTACTTCCCAGAGAGGCGTAAAAAAAAAATTATTATTGAAAAAACACACAAATAATATTGTATTGGGCGTGGCACCCGAAAAAAATGTCTTCCTCCGGCGGCATCTGCGGTGGACTCTTCACCTACTTGGTCCTATACTTTGGGTGTGAACCCCTTTAAGTACAGACCACGAGCCGTTACTGGTTCAGAAGCTCTACCCCCCCCCCCCCAGGATGGGGGGGGGAGGTTAGGGATTAGTGTAAATCAAAATACGCTCATCTTTAATAATTTCTAGTGCGGCATACCTTTTTCGACAGGTCTTGAATTATCTGTGTGGGCTTAATCCTAGGCATGCCAGCCTTATCGATAAGGAGTTTTCATTCGGGCTTAATAGCCGTCGTAAGTTGGAATTACTTCCTGAAGTTTCGCTAGTACGCGTGGCTATCATCTTCAGAGGTGCTTCCATGTCCGATTCTGGTAGCAGACAAGCAGACTGACGTGTTTCCGACCGTTAGTTGTATTTATGTGAGTGGATGTGGTGGGGGAGGGACGGGGCTTCGCGGCACGTGGCTAATCTCAACTTTCTCTGTACTCAGTGGGATCTTTCTTGCTTTTTGAAGATCGGGTTCCAGATTTGGTTGAGTTTTAGCTTTCCGGACATGTCTCACTGGTAGTTACTTTCTGTGGAACGGCGATTTCTACGAGCAAACGGACGGTGTAGCTATGGGAAGTCCGCTCAGCCCGGTCATAGCCAACTTCTTTATGGAGGAATTCGAGAGGAAAGGTATAGAATCTTTTGATCATAAACCAACGGTATGGCTTTGATACGTAGATGATATACTTTTGTGGTTTGGAGTCATCGGGAAGAGAAGCTTAACCAGTTCCAGGCTATCTAAACGAGCAACATCCTAGCATATAATTTACCACGGAAAAGGAGAAAAACCAGGAAATGGCCTTCTTAGATGTGCTCATAAAGAAAGCTGGAGAAAAACTAAGCCACACGGTGGAAAAAACGTGGAATTATAACAACGTTAATAGAACGTGCTCCGAACATCTGCGAGCCACAATATCTCGAGCAAGAACTGGATCATCTCCTGTTGGCCTTTCTATCAAATGGTTACAATGCATCTGAAATCGACAGGGCCATGCGACCCAAAACTGCCACACGACAAAACGTGGATGAACAACCAGTGGTGGCTAATGCATATCTGCCTTTCATTTCTCGGGTGACAGACAGGATAGGGAAATTCTTGAGGAAACACAACATAAAAACAAGCTTCAAGCCAACAAGGAAAATACAGCAATCAATTAGATCAGGCAAGGATAAGAGGAACCCACTGTCAAGCGCTGAAGTCTATCGTATAACATGCACATGTGGTAAGGTATACATAGGAACGACAAAAAGATCCATGGGAATCAGGATGAACGAGCACAAAAGAAACTGCGGACTAGGACAATCGGAAAAATCGGCAGTTGCGGAACATGCGCTTAGTGAAGGGAATCATGGAATATTCTTTGGTGAGGTCAAGCTTCTTGCACCGACTTCCGGATACCACAATCCGTTTTGTATGTGAAGCTATAAAAATCCACAAACATACGGAGAACTTTAACAGCAAAGAAGAAACACTAGAACTTAACCAAATCTGGATCTCGATCCTCAAAAACGCAAGAAAGATCCCATTGAGTATAGAGAATCTGAGATTAGCCACGTGCCGCGCTCACACATAAATACAACTTACGGTCGGGAACGTGTCAGTCTGCTACCAGAATCGGACATGGAAGGCGGAAGCACCTCTGAAGATACTAGCCACGCGTGCTAGCGAAACGTCAGGAAGAAATTTCAACTTACGACGGCCATTAAGCCCGAATGAAAACCCCTTATCAATAAACCTGGGCCGCGAAAGCCTCACAAACTTTATCATGCCAGCCTTATTTTGTAACCGAGGTAATTCTGATACTGGCTTTCATTTTTATTTTCGAATGTACTTGGCATTCAGAAAATATATAAGGTCTGTTTCTGAAGAAACCTCAAGCCAGTCAGAGCGAATTTCATTGGTTGAAAACAGTTGAAACCATCAGAAAACTAGTTCCAACCAATAAAATTCAATCTGACTGGTTTGTGATTTCTGCAGAAACAGACCTACCATCATCTCTGGTCAACATCAGCCATCAATTCGCTTGTTACCTCATCCGCCTTGTCATGTAGTTCAGGTTGACAATAATTATGAAATGATTATGAAAAACCGAGTGAAAAACAACCATAGACAAGTTGGCACCCTGAACAACATTAATAAATAGGTACACGGAAAAATACACAGATGATCTACTTGATTTAAATTGTGTTAAGTCTTGTGCTTCATATTCTGTTTCTCTGTTTATCTGTTTTATGGTACGTGCAAAAATCCTTGTAATTTGTGACCCTCTGTTCTCTTGACCCACTTTTAAATCTTGGTTTCAAAAGGCTGAACTTCCATAAAACCGTGTAAGAACCGGCCCCACATGACAACTTATTATCAAGTGGATTTTTTACTGGATCTATAATCCCAGCACAAGAAACAGAGTAGGTAGGTATCCAGAAACATCAGTGACGTTGGAAAATTAGTATTCCAGAAACTGATTAGAGGTACGGCTCCAGTAAAAACCAGAAAAGACTTCTGCCAACAAGTCTATAGTCTCTTGATTACTATAGTCTGTAGTGCCATTATATACCTAACCCATGTTAAAGGGAAGAGCAAAGTTATTTGTAATATTGTTAGAACGTGACCAAGCGGATTTAGGATTCTAATTAATGTTATTTTCAGTTTTGCAGTCAGTTAGCAGGTACATTCTATAAGAGAAGTCTCTTGAATCCTTTGCACCTATCCACTCACTCAAAACAACAAATAGTCCAAATTATCTCCCGTTTCTCTAATTTTTTTGTGAAGCTTCTTCTTCTCGACAATCAATCTACGCAGATCATTGTTGAACCACACCGGAAAGTTAGAAGTTCTGAATTTCTTCACTGGAACATATAAAGTTATCCCCTCCCCACGATGTTTTATATAACCATAGCCTACTCAAGGGTCAAATTATTCAATAAACACCAATTATTCATTCAATGAAATGTAATAGGCACCTTGCATGAAAAATTAAATTGATAACTGTTTATTGCAAACTGTAGGACATCGGCAAAAAATCTATACGTATTTCTACGTACGTATACGAAGATTAAGTTTTGTATATATAGATATATTCAGCATGGACTGACGTCATAGGATATCAAAAATAAGCACATTTCAAAGCGTTGTATCTCCGTCAATTTTTGTCTAACAAGAAAAAGAAAAAATATGTGTTGACTTATTTTTCATTGACAAACGAAATCAGCAATAAAAAAAAATGGATGCAAGGTGCCAATTGCCATTTTGCCATTTTCAAAATCAAAAAAACACTCCCCTTATTTAGAACGTTTGCATTCTACATTATGGCTGAATGTCGTAGATAGATATTAGCTGTGTGGTGAACACTTTTACCCAAAATCATATCGGTGGATCTATCAATCTCAACAGTGCCAAAATTTGAAAACACCAAGTCAAGCAAAGTATTACTGCAATTCATGATCGAAAACTTAGTAAAAAATCTAGATACTTTCATAAATCCTAACAACTAAGAGCTTCTTTTTCAGAGGTAATTAAAAACACACAACCTTTCAAATTGCAGAAAGTTATATTAGAAATAAATAATACATAAAACAATAATACAAAATAAATAAAAACAACGCATAAAATAAAATCGAAATTATTGTTGATTTTTTTGTTTCACCCTAAACCTGCTCGTACCTCTGCCTCTTATTTGGTTCGTCTGCGCCTGGATCTGGTTATTATTGGCTCCTTTGTCCTCTTCTACTATTATTGACAAAGGAGTCACTATTTTCGGTTTCTTCTCCAAAATCGAATAATCGAAAGGCTTATAAGTGTCCACTGTTCCAATCAACGGCGAATCGGCTAGAGTCGGCCTCACTATTTTGGATTTGTAGTCACTATCCAGTGGCGGATAAAGTGGATACTGCGTTGTGATTTCAATGGGTACTGGCTGGGAAAAATGGATAGCGCCATTGCGGTAGCCTCCAGGGTATACTGGAGGTGTCGATGTTTTACCGAAAAGTTCTTGTGATCTCATCGGCACCCACTTGGCTTCGTTGACGGTGTTGAAGTCGGAGTTTTGGTGTTTTTTGTGGTGCTTTTTGTGACTTTTGTGATGGTGGTTTCTGTGCTTGTGCTGCTCTCTTTTGACTTTTGGCTGAAAAAATATTCATTTATTTATTTGTTTATAATTCACAATTATTGTATTACTCTTTCGGTTGTTGTTGTGGAATAATCTTCTTCGCTACTTTCAAAGCTTTCTTCACTAGATTGGTGGTGTTTGTGCTTATTTCTCTTTGATCTACCGCTGTTGCCATTATGATGGTGTTTGTGTCTATATATAAGAAAAATTGTTATATTTGATGAGTTGTTTAATGTAGGAAGGAGAAGCAATTAATACTACACCTTTTCCATATGTATTTCAGAGATCGTCAATTTAATTTCAGAATGCGTCAATTGTATTTCAGATTGGTTTATTTTATTTCACAAAGTGTCAATTGTATTTCAGATTAGTTAATTTTATATCGGAAAGCATCAATTGTATTTCAGGTTAGTTGATTGTAGTTCAGAAAACATGAATTGTATTTCAGAAATTGTCAGATGTACTTCAGAAATTAGTAGGTATCTACGCAGATTTTCCCAAATCAACACACGATAGGTGTATTATGTGACTCATAAATTTTATCTAATACACTACATTGATAATATCTGAAATACATTTGACAAATTCTGAAATACAATTTACAATTTCTGATCTATGTACAAATAAATAATCTGAAACCCAAATGACGATTTTTGAAAGTTTGAAACCATTAATACCCTTTTTCAAATGCCAAAACCTGAAAATAAAGCTTATATCTCTTGATGAATAATGAGATTACTTGGCATGGCTAAATCTTTGGGTAAGTTTATTCTCAATTTGTCAAAAGTGTCTGTGCCCCTTGGAATCTTTTACATATACTTTACAACATTTAAGTTGAATTTTACCTTATTGTGACTTGGAAAAACTTGGAAATTATGTAATTATTAGGTAGAGTAGTTAGGTATCTAAGTTTCTACTTTAATTTTTCTGTAGCTGTGAGTATTGGGATGTTGCAACGAGTTTTAATAAATTTAAACAACATTTAAACTATTGTAGAAACATTGTACTTTTTGGAACTTCATAAAAACTCATTGAAATGACTGAAGTGTTTTATCTAATTTTCAAAAAAACGCAAATCCGTTAATAAAAAAGTGAAAAATTATGTATTTTAGAAAAAACTCCACAACTTACCTATGACTCTTAATTGGTTCCCTTAAGAAAATCATATGATGAACATCTTTTTTTTGTCGCACGCTTTCCACCAAGACTAAATTTGCCACCATCCACAGCAGAATGATTTTTATCACGAAGTGGACACCAAACATGATATTTGGAATTCTTTCTTGTATTTTCTCAGTAAATCTTCATTCCTTCTGTAATGGCAATTGACTATTAATTAAAATGGTATTAGTTACGTTTCGACTCTGAAATTACTATCAGGGCTACAATTATAAATGACCAATAAATTTAGTGTTGAAACGTTGATGTGATTTACTTATTACTTACAAAAATTCACTAAAAGCAGAATTTCGCACGCCCGCTAGAATTCTCGTAAGAAACTGGCTCGAATGTAGAAATTCACCCGGTATAAATAATGAGACTCGGGATGCACCATCAGAGATCCGACATGGTTGGTTTAAGAAAACGCATTGTTTCGTGGAAAATGGTTGCTTATTAGATGCTCGTTCTTTTTTTTCTTTTTAAATTGCGTGCAAGTTTTTGCCTGTGTGCATTATTATGATTGATAGATGCGATTAAGTGCGATCCTTAACGAGAATAACAGGTGTGGATTTAAATAAAATTCAGATGGGTTTTTCAACTTGGATATTTCATGAGAATGTGGAAAATGACGTCCTATGAAACTTGTATTTTAATGTACTGTTTTTTACTACTAACCTGAGAAGTACCTAGTCATTATTCAATCTATTTTTCTAGGAAAAAATTGCATTTCTCTCCCTAGGTGAATAATGAAAATAATGAAAAAATACCTAGGTCAATAATAAAAATGACGTCATGACGCAAGGATATTGTTATGTTTCTATTGGTTCAATTCCATTTTCATGCGTCAAGAAAAAAAAAATACAGGTTTCTGTAGGTATGTACCATCGTCACCAAAAGTATCTGGGACAGCATCATGTTAGCTCTTGTACTATTATACAGTGCCTGCGGAAGAGTCTGCACCATATGGGAAATTTTTTTATGCTCATCCTTACTTCAATTCAGTTTTCGGTATTAGGTTCTGCATGATTGAAAACCAAAAAAACACCTAAAATTTTTGACTCGAGACTTACCTCACACCTGTCAAATGTCATTTGAAAATTTCAAACAAGGAAAAGTGGTATTTTTATAATAAATATGAAAAAATTTTATAAGAAAATATTGTTTCAAATGACATTTTTAGTCTAATTTGATATTTTCACTTTGAAAAAAAAAAGATTTTTATAAAAAAAATTTTTCGAATGTCTACGAAAAAATAATATTTTTAGGATTTCTTTCGCGACCATTTCTCTAAAATAATTAGTTTGTATCTGACTAATGGTTTTTTAAATCCTAATAATCTAATTAAGAGTTTAAACATCAAAAATAAATATTTCTATTAAAATTTTGATACGCCACTGGACTATTTTGAAAATTTTAGATTTCTCAAATTGAAATTTCAAATTGTTTGTTTGTAAACTACTCCTAAATGTCATTTGGAACAATATTTTCTTACAAAATTTTTTCATATTTTTTATAAAAATGCCACTTTTCCTTGTTTGAAATTTTCAAATGGCATTTGAAAAATTTCAGGTACCTATTTTTTTGGTTTTCAGTCATGCAGAACCTAATGCCAAAAACCGATTTGAAGTAAGGATGAGCATAAAAAAATTTGCCATATGGTGCAGACTTTTCCGCGGGCACTGTATGATTTTAAGTGTCAAATATTTGTCAAATTATGAATTAAATGCATTGAAATAAATGACAGTAGACTTGCCCAAGAGATTAATATGAATTATTTTTGTCCCAGATACTTTTGGTGGCGATGGTACATAGGAAGTTATCATAAGCTGTTGATAGAGGACAGCACTTTCAAGAGGGCGTTCAAAAATAGTATATTATGCAATGATCATGTAATGATAGCCATTAATACACGAGCATGTTGTAGGATACGAAACGAGCCGCAGGCGAGTTTCGTATATACCATGCGAGTGTATTAATGGCCATTACATGAGAGTTGCATGCACTATTTTTTCTACTGCCATTGATAAAACTTATATTTAGATATGTCAACATTATGCTTAACTTTGAATAGAGATTTTATACCTAATTGAGTAATCCATGCAGTTGAAGGTTATATTTTTTGTTGTAATTGTCCAAAATATACTATCAAAACATTTTCTGAGAAAGACGATGTGTTTTTGGTGTTTCCAATCCATAAATTGTCTATACTTTATTTTTTCCCAAGATAGATTTTGGCATTGAAAACTTTGAAACATAAACAATAACGCCCCTGATTGGTCGCAAAATGAGGTGTTTCTGCAGGTTGACATCAGTTTTACAATAGCGGCCAATAAGTGGCATTAGCGGCATTGTTTATGTTTCAAAGTTGACAATGTCAAAATCTATCTTGGAAAAAAATAATGTATATATAATTTTCTTGGACTTGTCCGGTAGTATAATATTACCTGCATTTGTCGCCCTTTCTGTAATTTCTGAGGGTGTTAGTGAAAATTCTTCGTTATCACTCAATATTTCCATAATGCCTTATCCCAGACATTAGGTAACTTTCAATAACAATTCGAAGTATTTTTTAAATAAAATTATTGTTTTTCGCTAAATTACCATGGAAAAGCTATAAACAGAGTGCTGTCAAAAAAAAAAAAATTCAAAATGTCTTAACTGGTGGCGCCATCTATTGACAATGTATAATAATGATAAAAGTAAAAATTCTTTCTAATTAGTATTATAATGAAAATCGGTTTCGTAATGAAGTTCATTATGATACAGATTTTAATCGTTTAATAGCGTATTATGAAATGTCAGTAGAAAAAAATAATTAAAGCACAGATTTTAAGCATTTTTTTTCTTTCTACTAGCAGTATTAAAAAAAATTCTATATATTCCTCGGTAGAGAAAGTCATTATATACCTCACGCATTATAAACCTCGGCGCTGCGCGCCTCGGTTTATAAAAGCTTTCGGTATATAATGACCAACTTCTCTACCTAGGTATATAATATACTATTTATCTCTGATCGCATTGCAATATCAATCATTTTAAAGTCTTTCATGTTTCAATTGCTCAGACAATGGGTCCTATGATTGAACGATTATGTTATCCTTAACGTACATGTTAGGCCGAGTTTTAACAGTAACGATACAAGTTCGTATGATGGAAAGTTTTTCATAACAGATTACTGTTATTTCTCGCCTGTTATGTTCTAATTTAACGTATCTACTCAACAGCCCGGATTAACATGCCGTTAAGTGCTTAACGTTCATGTTACCAATGTTTTTCTATTTTTTTAGAGATCCTATTTTGAATAACGGGGTAATTAATTTACATAATACAAGAAGAGAATCAAACTAGGAGGTTCCTAGGTTATAAACTTCATTACTATTTTATGTTAATCAATTATGAGGTACAAAACTTTTATATTAATTCACTATTTAAGGACTGAACTGAACGCTCAAAGAAGGCATATCAGAGATCAATTGAAACTCTAGATAGGGTTTTATTACTAAATATACTAGACTTCCAAAAGTTCCAAAAAAATCGGTGCAGTTTATAATTGCAAGAATAAAGCCCCATTTTAATATTCCTCAAAGACCAAGGATTTCATCCGTTCCAGTTGAACTGAAGGTCTAAAATCTAAAAGTTTATTCTGAATTCTTAATATAGTTGGAACAAGCTCGATGGTTGGAACTGTTTTTCATTTTATATTAGGCAGTGGTTCCAGTAGTGCTTTTATTTTCCATGATGTCCACTCATCAGAGGTGTTTTCTCGCGTCTCGAAATTTTGAAAAATATTTCAGTTTCCCAATGGAACGGTTTCCCAATGACATCATAACTTCTCGGCGCGAGAAAATGGTTGAAAAACTGGATTGGATTGTATTTCGGAACGGTTCGAACCAATTTTGTTTGGCGTCATGGGTTTATCGCGAGAATATACTATTTCAAACCTGTTTTGAACCAATTTCAAAAAAGTGAACGCGAGAAAATAGCTCTGATGTTTTTTGGGGTCCAACACTCAGGGCATTTATGATTTGGAAATGCTAGGTCCCCATACTGTTTCATAGTTATTTTAGATAATCTTTTCCCCCTAATAAATTGGATAAAATGTAAAATGAGCTGCAAAAAGATGTAATTTAATTGTTTGTTATTGTTGTTTCAAGAAAAACGTCACTTATAAAACCAAAGTGAAGCTAGGTACAAATACTTTCTTCCATTCCTAACAGCCAGGTTAACATTTTCTGTTATCGATTTCGTCAATCATACCGATATAACATCCACTGTTATTTTATATGTTATCTATTCCCTGTTAGCATAACATAACAGAAGAAAATTTTTGGTTTTTTTGAATGGTTGATTTACTTTTGGTCTTATTATTAATGGAGGATAGTTTCTCACTTGATTGTTCGTTTTTGTAGGTATTTGTATTACATCTGCATATGATATATTTTGGTTTTTCTGATTTTTTTCTAGTTCTTTTATAGGCTAAGGCCGGGACCGTACTGGCGCCAACATTGACCTCAGTGCGGTCCCGGCCTTAACCTAAGTTGACATTAATTTTTAAGTGACGTAAAATATGTGAATCTGTCAATATTTTGACTGATAAACACCAGTACCACCAGTATCTCGTTTACTCTCCACACAAAAAAATCGCAAAAAAGTTCATCTTTCAACGCTCATATCTCAAAGACCGTAATATCTACAAGATTTCGTCCTATTTAAAGGTTGTTCAGAATTAAATCCTCTATAACAAATCAAAAAATGGGCAAAATCCATAGAGCTCAAAAATACCATGTTAGGTGTGCGTTATCCAAAAAATGACAACTTTTACACTTTATTTTTTCCCAAGATAGATTTTGGCATTGTCAACTTTGAAACATGAACGCTAATGCCGCTTATTGGCCGCTATTGTAAAACTGATGTCAACCTGCAGAAACACCTCATTTTGCGACCAATCAGGGTTAAGCGTTATTGTTTATGTTTCAAAATTTTCAATGTCAAAAGCTATCTTGGGAAAAAATAAAGTGTAGAGATATTCAGAAAAAAAAAACGAAATATCTCCGGAGGTTGTCAGAATTTTTAAAATTTCTTGCGTGCATATTGTTAGTCTCCAAATAGCGAAACTTTTTCAAGCATTTCCGTATCTATTACCGTTTACGAGATGCCCATGATAGACATCCTTATCTTGGACACCCTGTATACCGTTCGAAAGGTTTTTTCAAGCACAAAAAAGAATACAAGTTTTTAGCTACATATAACGGTTTCTAAGTTATTTAGCAAAATTATTGATCGTAAAAATCGAAGGAAAAATCAACAATTTCATTATGGTCCATATTCTCCGTAGTTCATAAAACCTGGCTTAGTGGAAACGCTTGACTTTTTGTGTGACAAAGCCGAGCTTTTCCACTAAGCCAGGCTTTATGAACTACGGAGAATATGGCCCTAAATCTGCAAGTATTTTTGGTATTGTACATAAATGATGATCTGCAATACACTCTTGGAAAGCGCGTTTGGCGACAATAATGATTACGTCATCAACGCCGCTAAATGACCAGAAAAATTTGTGTCCCGGGCTTTTTAGACTCAGCTACCCATGTACTATCTGTACCCAAAGAGCCGGGGCGTATTGGTTGCCACCGTTGCCAGACGTGAAATATTCTGGTATAATTTTCAGCTACCTCACCCCACTAATAGGGTATGTGGAGTGTTCCTATCTGCCTTCTTCTTTTTAAGTAAATGAACACCTTTTTCTGATCTGCTTTGTCATTTGTTGAAAGTTCTTCTTGATGTGACTAGTTTTGCCACAAGCATAACATTTGAGCTCTTTGACTTGCTAATGACACTGCCTCCTTTTGATTCTGCTTAAGTCTTTCCTGTTCTGGATATTACCTCTGTCCCCTGTCAAGGTTTGCTGAGTTGTGGGTGTTGATTCCCAAGCACTTACAAAATGTTTCAGGTTCTCTGGTAATGTCATAAGGATTTTAGTAATTACCATTTTGTCACTTAATTATTCGCCAAGGTGCTTCAGATTTACCCTTATTTCCTCCATGGGAAATAAATTTAGCCACCGTTCCATTCGTGTATCCTAAACTAAAGAACTTGTGTTGCAACAAGTGCACAGTTACTTGAGATTTGTGCTCATAAATAGACATAAGTTTTTCCCACATTTCCGCTGCTGTCTGGCATGAAATAATATGAGCTAGTTAAACTGTTAAACACACTTCTTTTGGATCAGGCTTTTATTGAAGAAACTTCTGTAGTAATACTGAACTTAATGACAGCTAAGGGTTGATTCATAATAATATTCGACTATACAGGCTACACTATTTTTATTTTCTAAATAGTATAATAAACTAAAAACTTGCCTTTTACAGCAACTTCTCAAATTTGTCTTAAGTTTCTTCTTCTTCTATTATGCATTTGCATTTTCTGATTTGAATCCTAAGTCCTTCTCTGCACTCAAATAAATTACCCATAAAAACCGATGAGCTTAGAAATCGAAAGCGGTAAAGCTCCTCTTCTGCCGTGTGAGATAATTTTCCTTCGCGCGTCAGAGAACTAAATATTTCGGTAAACATATGGCAATTAATAACAATTAAAATAATTAAAATATAATGATTTAATATATGATGGTAAAAGTAAAGAGTTTTTCTTTCACGGTTGCAGGTTTCTCTCTAATATAAAAAGTGATTGACATAAATAAAATAAATTAGAAGAAAGCGGTATAAGATTTATAGTAAATCGAACTAGTCGAACCGCAAAAGCCTGGTCAACATGCTAACGATGGAGCACATCATTTTTTTCTTGTCCAATTCTTGATAAAAATGGTTGGATTCGAAGCCAACGGCCACTTCCCTGTTGACGATGGTCAGGATGGATAAGAGGTCGCGGTTTGCGTGATGCGCTTCCAGTTTTCTGGCTAACGATTGGATGAAACATCCTCCTGATTTGGGATCTCTCCAGGCGTAATAACCTGAAAAATAGTTATTAGTGAATGGGCTTTTGGCTCTCGAGTAGTTAGTGTGTTTGAATATGAGATAATTCTATAGGTATCTACAATGGTAGTAACTTTTCAGATTCAGTCATTGATGAATTAGTTTGAAAAGTCTTGAAATATGTTAAGCTGTAGGTACTTTTTAGTTTTAAAATTGGATGGTTTTCTACAAGGACCAAAAACAAGCATGCTATTTATCAAAGATTCCATTATTCACATGAAAAGGATAAATTTTGTGATAATTTGAAAAACATGAAAAAAGAATTTAGACAGCTAGATGATTTTATAAAACATTGTTACGCAAATGCATCAACAACCTGGCCCAGGATTTCAAGAAATTGGGTACTTGTTCACGTCGAGCGCCTTTTCTGGAATTCTTTTTCTTCTTTTTTGCGATTTCCACTATAAATATAATGAAATATTAACCAAAACTCACCCTCAACAGTAGCATACATTATTAAAATATCAGCCATAGCTGGAATCGAATAGATTATACGATTAGCTTCAGAATTTTGGCTGTCTTTCTCTATTCGCACCCCTGGATCGGTTTTATCACCCCTGCAAGCCTAGAAAAAGGAATTGATAATCAATATCCAACAAATATTAAAAAGCTCTCACTTGTATGAAAAACAACTTCGGCTTTCCAGCTAAACTGGGACACTTATCGCCAGCAAAAAACTCTAACATTTCGCCACTAGTGTATTCCTTATCCTTGGCACTGATCCTACCATTAGTCCTACCGTGCGACATTACAGCCACCACCAAACAATCGTTTTCTGTGTGATCCATTTTCGATACTATTTGTAAAGTTTCCATTATTTTTTCTCTAGAATAATCCTCGTAAACTTCGACATGAAACCCAATTTTTTTCAGGACACCCTGTATGGCATCTCTATCGAATTCAGTGCCTTTTCTTTCTTTGTTAAACGGACTATCAAAGTATTGGTGGTTGAAAATGAGGGCTATACCCCTGTTGGAGTGAGACATGTTGTAATATTCATCCTCTGGATCTTGGCCAGGAACTGCATCTTGAGGGCGGATGGGTATCAAACTTAAATTTAATGTTTTTGGTCTAATTTGAATTTTGTGTTTTTTACTTACCTTGGTTTGAAGCCCAAAGCGTCAGTGTCTGACTCTAAATCATTTTTGCTAGATCCCATTTTATTGTTAGCTTAAACCAAACTAAATTTTTTGCTTTGTTTGGTATATAAACGCGTGCCTTATCAATAAATTTTGGTATAGGAGAGGTTTTATCTTATCTATATAGATATTCACTGCACTGCAATTGTGCTTAATTCGTTTCAAATTTTTTCTGACAGGTAATAATCAAATTTGAAGTGTGCTAAATTGTTGCTCTTTGTTCAAAATTTTCCATTTGCCTTCTTTTTCAACTAAGTATTAGTCAACTCACTGCATAAATCAGAGTTAAAAACTTTAAATATATTTTTGTGCAACCGTCCGCGAAATGAGCTTTCGCTGCCGCCACACCTTACGTGCAAAATGTGTCAAACCTTAACAAATCCATACAGTCTTTCTGTAACTTAACATACGTAACACATACAGTACTTGACCTAACGAAAATGATCATGCCATAACGCTATTTTGTAGTAGATCTAGACATCGCAAAGATAAATGTCCAGCGAGAAAATCTATTTATTATATAACTGTGAAGAAAAAGGACATGTCAGCCAGGTGTGTTAATCGATAAATCAAAAGACCGATTCTACCACGATAACAATTGCTGCTTTAGCTTTATTGATGAAGATATCTGCAACTACTGATATTCGAGTTTAACAAAAGTTCCAATCGGAATGTATCAATGGATTTATTGGTCAAGGCACTGGTCGATACAGATAGTTCGGATAGAAAACACAAATATCTACAAAACTGACGGTTACAATATGGCATCTTTGAATTTTAACTCTTATACGTGATATTTCCTTCATAATAATACAAACATATAACATTACTGAACATCGTAACCAAAAAAAAGTTATGTTAAATTGGATATAGGATTCTATTAATGATGTTCCTGGTGTGGTTAAGGGTTTGGGCAAGTTTGACACATCTTCTCTATCAACACTGGAAATATTGTCACAACTACCCGCTTTACGGGGGTGACATGGGGGGTTTGTAGCTTTGGGGGTTGATGGAGAGAAACTCGCTCAGGTTATATAAAAATATAGATATATATTTTCCCAAATATAACCTTACATGTACGCTAATCCTATAAGATACATGACCCTTCGTACACTGGGGTCCTTATAGGGGGCCACACGTCAACGCTGCTCGGGGGACTGTAGATTAGTTTATCGTCACCCTTATGCCTTGTCCAGAGGGGCGTTCCCAACGAGAGGTAATTGCACTGGACAACGATAAGGCTGAAGATACCCAGAGGGGCGTTCCCAACGAGAGGTACTTGCACTGGGGAGACTTAATTCCAGAGGGGCTTTTCCAACGAGAGGTACTTGCACTGGTTTAAGTCTGCCTTTGCTGCGGCTTGCAGCGCAATTTATATCAATTTATTGCTGAATTGCAATAAACATCCGACCGAATCGGCAATTTAATTAATAAGGTTAAATACCGGGTCCTCCTTTCCTAAGCAGCTAGTTGACAATATCTTCATTCTCTGAAAATATAAATCCTTAACTACAGTTTTTTAAAAATGTTATTTGAAATTCTGCATTTTCTAATGCCAACTACTTTCCCAACATAATGTAGGTACAATAGGTACCTACGTTTTCTTGTTGTAAACTTTACTAACAATAATTTTTTATAGGATTTTTCATCTTCTAGAAGTTCATTGAAGCGACCTATCGGCTTTGAAATTCAAATTGATGTGAAATGTACTGTAACATCGATGGTAAGTTTATGTCAGAATCTGAACGATGAATTATAATCTATAGGAAAATTAATAAAATAATGGATGTGGGGCATCAAAATTTATGACGTTAGTTAGCATGTCGCAATATTGCCGCATCAACTTCGTTTTACTTTGACTAGTAGTAAAGTTTGTCATTTGTGGAATTTGGTTTTTTTGGTAGGTATTAGTGATTTTTATCAATTTATTAATAAAAATGTAACCTGGGAAAATGACAAACTCTACTACTAGTTAAAGTAAAACGAAGTTGATGCGGCAATATTGCGACATACTAACGTCAAAAATTTTGATGCCCCACATCCATTATTTTATTAATTTTCCTATAGAACCACTTTGTTCTTCTTGTATTTTTTCACTGCCATTTTGTGTTTTCCTTGATGTAATTTTCTCTCAGTTTAAGTCTTTTTCAATAATCTCTTATTTTTTCCAATTCCTTAAAGTAGACGAAAGTATCGACGACATCGATAACTGAACTTCAATATGCGGATGATAACGCTGTGATGGCCAAACATAAAAATCTATAAATAACCATTCTTTGCAGAACGTAGAGCATTACCCATACCTTGGGAGTCATCAGTCATCTATCAGCGAATGTAACCATTGACACTGAAATCCTTACTTTCAAGTAGGTACTATTATTACTACAAAGCAGAAATTAAGTTGAGTAATTTGTTAGAAGAATAAACTAGTTTAGGAATGGGGGAAATATAGCAGGGTTCAAAGTAAGAAAAGTGAAAAGAGCCCTATTTTTCCTACTGTGAACTTTCTCCAAAAGAAAGTACCTAATACACATCAGTTTTACAAAGTGTTTCAACAAGAAATCTTCCTGGATCTCACATGAAGAATTCATGAAGGCTGATGAAAAAAACAAATTATTCAATGTGTCTCAGACAATGTATTTATTAGAAATTCTAGAGAGAATTCAAGTTCCATGTGTTTTTACACATTCATTGGAAATCGTGCTTCATACATAATGATAAAATACACCCAGGGGCAATTTGGATTAATCAAAATCACCAAAATCTACAAACTAAATTGCTTATAATTACTCAAGCTGTTCAGCAAAGTATTTTCAACAGTTGATGGTCCATCTAAAATTTTTAAAAAAAATTATCCCGCATACCCAATTTAAAAAAATTTGTACTTCACCTATGGGGTACCAAGAAGTATTTCCTGGAGAAGCTTCTTTTCTAGCCGATGCAACTGCAGCTCTAAGCGCTAAAGGCAAAGCTATAGTCAAACAAATAGGCGGTTCGGCAATAGCTACAAAATTTTTATTAATTATAAAATATGAACAAAACAAATAGTTACCTTTTGACTTCAGCACACCTACGGGATTCAAACTCTTATTTGAAAATCGCACTCTGAAATCCTGAGGGATGTCCTTGGCTCCTGGTACTTTATAATTCCAAGGGCGATTAGTTAAGAGTTTGCCTTCTTCATTGAAAATCAGCTCCTCTGTGGAATAATAACCTAAACCCATTACAAGGGCTCCTTCTAGTTGCCCTATATCGATCAAGGGGCTCATACTTTGGCCCACATCTTCCAAAACATCCAGACGGAGGATTTCGTGTTTGCCCGTCAAAATGTCTACTTCTACTTCTAGAGCAATCACAGCAAAAATTGGATAGGATTGTATACCAGGTTCATTGGGAGAGTAACTAAAAAGAATAATAAGGAATTTCCCAAAAACTCTTTTTACTTACAATCCGTTGGCACTAAGACAAACATAGTTCAAATAGCAAAGTTGTATGAGTTCCTCCCAAGTTGCATTTGGGTTTTTATCTCTGATTGGTTTGATGCGAGCTAATAGTACGTCACATGCTTGAATCAATGCCTAATAAAACATAGGTACCAAATTATTAGTGTCAGTTAATTACATAATTACTTACATATACAACAGATTCTGACGTAATACTACCACCGGACAAATCCGAATTAGCTGTAACAACATTATAAGATGGTTTTACAGATACTTTCTCCATGGGAATGCCAAATTTGTAGGCACAAACTTGAGCCACCTAGAATTAGGACAATATTTAAAAAAAAAACAGTTGTTTCTAATAGATGCAGATTACTTTTGTGTTGATTCCTTGTCCCATTTCAATACCGCCATGACTTACAGCAACGCCACCATCTAAATTGTAAATGGATACAACAGTGGTGTAGTTCAGGCCTACTTGCAAAGTGAATCTCATTGGGATTACTGAGAGACCTTTCTTTTTCCATTTGTTTGCCTAGAAAAACAATACAATTTTGGTAGATGATGAGCTCCTAGCCTCCCTCTTCACACTCCAAAAGTTTGAAAAAAGTATTTTGCGTCCTTGTATATTTATCGACGATGGTCAAGCAAATTGAGACGATTCAGTTCCATAGTTACCTGGTTATATTGTTCAATATTCTCCTTCCTTTTTTCAATATCATCAGATTTAATCAAGTCGTCTAAACAGTCCACCAGCAAAGTATTAGCCGGTCCATTCATGTTAGCCCTTCTCACAGCTACCGGATCCAGTTTGAGAGTGTTTGCGATATGGTCCATGATAGTTTCGATTGCAGCCAGACCTTCCACAGTACCCGGGGCTCTGGTATAGCATGCAGCAGCATTATCAGTAGTCACTCCATAAGTATCAAAGGTCCAGGTGTCGACAATGTAACAGTTTTGAAATTGTTCTATCAGAAAATGGTCAAGTGGTTCATTGCCTCCGATACCGAGATCTGTATATAAATTAGCCTATAAAATTTCAAATAAGATTTTAAAAAAATTACACAAATTAGAATATTGGTTACAGTAAGATATTGGATAACTCCACTAGCATTAACTCCAACTTCATATTCAACATAAAATGGGAATCTTTTGCCAATAATATCCATATTATCTTGGAAATTCATCCACATTTTGACTGGCTTGTTTAGTTTAAAGGCAGCCAGAGCAGCTGCACTGGATACAAAGGCATTTCTGGTTACCTTGGCTCCAAATGCGCCTCCTAAACGCCTCACAAACGTATTAATCCTAAAAAAAATCAATACCTATAATGTTTCTTGACCATGAAAAATTCTTACTTTTGCGAAGGCATATTAATAACTTGAGATATAGCTCCTTGTATCCCATTCATAAATTGAGTGCCAGGAAAAACATCGAGCCCATCTTCCGTTGGTATTACCACACAGTTTTGAGTCTCCATGTGGAAATGGTATTGGCCACGAAGGCTAGTTTTGCTTTTAATAACGGCCTTAACATCCGTACCTTTAGATTTAGCCACAAAACTAGTATGATGCTTGATTCTGCTCGTTTCATTCGCAGCTAAAACATCTTGAAGCGTGAATAGAGGCTTTTTAGTGGGTGGTGTTGTTGAAATTTCGACTAACTTAGCTGCAGCTTCAGCTGCTTCAAGGTTAGTGGCTACTACAATACCCACTGGCTGAGAAAAATGCTGCACAGTTTCGTTGCAAAACAATTTTTCTTCTACAAGCATTTTTAGGTTTGCTACAGCGATATTGTTCAATCCAGGAATATCTTTGGCCGAATAGAATGCTACAACGTCAGGATTATTTAAGGCTTTTACAGGATCTAGGTTGGTGATAGTTGAGCCTGCAATAGCTTGAGCTTTAACAAAGACACAATGCAATTGGTTCGGCAAGTCTGGCATGTCTAGCAAATATTCCGCTTCACCTGAGGCTTGTGCCAGAGCTTCTACTTTTATAACAGGCTGAGTCAAGGGATACAATTCCTGTTTGCTGTAAATTTGTTGAGTTCCAGTAGAAACTGGTCTGGATATCAGAGTGGCTCCGCTTTTGTTTCTTTCTGATATTTTTTGTGGAGGTGCAATGCTTAAAACATACTGCAAATATCAACTCAATAAAGCAAACTATATATTTGGATTATTTCACCTTGTAAAAAAGATTGATCGCTAACTGTTTCCTGAAACTCGGACTCGGATCTGGCAAAACCCAATCGGGATTGAGCTCTTGGTCCAGAGATTGATAAATTTGCTGCAATACGTTGTCGTTGAACAAGGGCTTGTTCAATAGTAAGGCTTCGGTCTTGGAAGCGTGCACGAATGTCGGATTTATGGCTCCATAAACGAGTCGGGCTGATTTTACTTGGCCCAAATTGTTGATTCTCAAAAGAAATCCTGCGTTGATCATTGCGTGAGCATGTTGAGCTCTCGGCATGATCTGAAACAAGAGAGTGAAGATGGTAGAATAAGAATTTACACCTACACTGCAAAAACTTCACCAGGAAATCATAGGACTGGTGAAACTGTATGGTTATATTATCTGCCCTAGAGGATGCAACTGTGGAGGAAATGATGAAGGGCGCGGAACACAAGCTTCAATTTGAGAGCATAAATTTTCACCCAAGCATGCTGGTGATTGATTAACTCACCAAAGAGACAGTAGAGTGGCTGATAGACCACGTTTCCTGGTAGGGAAGGTAGCTGATGATGTGCCTGGGAGACGACAGTCTTCGCCTCAAGAAGCGAAGGGCAAGATCTCCAAAAAATCATTAGCTGAGTCAACACCCAGAACGAGGGGCTTAGCACCCAACTGTGGAAGATATTGAATTACAAGAAAGAATTGAAACTATCAAGAAGATGAGTCACAATATGTTCTACAGGTTCGGGTACTTGGCCTGTGAAAGACGAAAGATGCAGAAGAAACAGGCGAAAAACTAAAGGAAGAAGGAAAAAAATAAACCCTTGAAGAAAAGGAAAATACTCTCACTCCAGTGAAGGAAATTCCCATTGGAAGAAAAATTGCTTCTGGGCGAATAGGAGCCGAACACTCCTCCACACTAGAAGAGACAATAACAACAGGTAAGATGGCAAATTATACCAAAATAGCCCAGGTGAACGCGCATCCTGCTAGGGAAGCATCTGTTGTCATAGCTCGGTTGTTTTCGTCTGCACACTTGAAGGTCGTATTAATCCAAAAACCTTAGTATATGATGGGCAGACAAAGGTCTACCATGTAAAGGAACAGAATTAATCTGAGACTGGGACAGTCGGCGTAACGACCCTAGAGCATGCATTATCCTGAGAGAAAACATTAATCTTTTAAGTGTGACTTGGTCATTGTTCGTGTAAAACTTATGACCGACCAACCACACCGCGACTTAGTACTGGCATCAGGCTAGTTCACTGTAGATGGGCAAGCACCACCAGAAAAATGCAGAGATTAGTCGAGTACTGCAATAAGAGCTCCTAATTGGATGTGATGCCAACGCCCACAACGCCATTTGGGAAAGTATACCGACACAGACCTAAGAGGTGTGTAACTGGTGGAATTTATTTTTTTAACAAACCTAAATATACTCAATGTAGGGCATACACCAACATTTGTTACTGGGGTCAGACAGGAGGTGTTAGAAATAACACTTTGTAGTCCAAATATTGACCAAAGGATCAGGAATTGGAGAGTCTTCAATGAACCCCTCTCGCTCTGATTACAGAATCATAATGTTTGACGTAAAAGGAGTGCAGGAACCAACTATTTCGTATAGAGACTCCAGAAATACGATCTGTGAAAAATACACAACCAAACTGCAATGCAACCTAAAACAAACTAGGTAATGCAAACTAAAACCCTTTAGGTCCTTAACGGAGCAATCATGGAGGCATACGGCTGCAGCTGTCACGTGAAACAACAAGTAAACAAAAAAAATTGCCCATAGTGGAATAGTCACCTGTCACGGCATTTATGAGGGGGGGCTGAACAACCCGCCGGTGGCGAAAAAACTTCTCCAGAAGCCACGCCCAAAAACGTTTACCAGCATTCTTTAATTTACATTCGGACGAGTGTCTAAGAAGGAAATGGTAATACATTTCAAACAACGTAATTCACACCTTTCCATATTCGTTTTCCAGCTGCAGGAACTAGTGTTGCTTGGTGCTGATGTAAGTTTTTTGCGCTGTCTGCTAAAATTGGAAAAAAAGGACTGCTATAAGGGTAAAGAGTAGAGTGTTTTCACAGCTATCAGAACAATACCCACTTCTACCACGTAAAAGCCCCCCTCCAGCATAGCCATGATAGCCCACCATTAATCTATTTTCAAAAGGCGCCGCCAATCTAGAGATTTTCCCACGGTATCGAAAAACTTCCTAGGCTCAAGTGCCCCCAGCTATCAGACTAGCAGATTCACAAGCAAAATATTTATTATTGCAATAAAATTATTGCACCTGTTTATGACCAATACCCACCCCACAGCTATCAGAGCAATACCCACCTCCACTACGTCAAAAAGCTTCTACTCTGAAGAGGTACCTCTTTCCATATCCCTTCACTTTCTTGGAAACTAAAGAATATTTCAACTATTCCTGCATTTGTATTCGTCAATAGTGTTCTAAACTCCAATAATAACATATTGCTTGTGAATCTGGTGGACCACTTACGTAGTAGAGGTGGGTATTGGTCTGATAGCCGGGGGCACTCGAACCTGGGAAGTTTTTCGATACCGTGGGAAAATCTCTAGATCGGCGGCGCTTTTGATCTGAAATTTTGGGGATTTGACCCGGGCCAACCCCAAAATTGACGAATTCGAATACAAATGGAAGAATTGGTTAAATATTCTTTAGTTTTCAAGAAAGTGAAGGGATATAATAAAGTGCCATCTCAGGGTAAGAGCCTTTTGAAAATAGATTAATGGAGGACTTTACGGAAGAGGGTTTACAGTGCAGGTGGGTAAAAAGTGCCTCCTCAGGGTAAGAGCTTCACGGAAGGGGGTACAGTGGAGGTGAGTAAAGTCCGCCTTACGAGTCTAGGACTATGACGTCTAAAGAGCAAGGGGTCATAACGCCATTCATTTCGAGCTTTATGCTGCCTGTCATAGACGAGCGTGCAACGTTTTTGAATATTACTTTTTCCTTATAAATGTAGGTGTATGATATAAATACATATTAAGGTATTTCTTATTGGAAGTCAAATAGGCAATATTGCAATTTTTTTATCCGCATTCTTTCCATAGTGCTAGACTCGTAAGGCGAACTTTAGTGGTATGATGGCTGTGCTGGAGGGGAATTTTTAAGTGCTAGAGGTGGGTATTGGTCTGATAGCTGTGAAAACACTCTACTGTAAAGTGTGGAAAACTCTCCTGCAGATATTCTTTTCCAAGCAGCATGTACTGAAAATCTGCGTTTTACGCTGTTCTTCATAAAAGATTTCTGATTTTCTTCATCTTCTTGTTCTTCTAAACAAAGTGCCACCATGTTCTGATATCTACTGCCAGTACTGGATTTACTGTGCTGATTTTACTGTCATTTGCCGTTCCAATTTCAACAGGGTACTCTTGTGGTCATTCAGTACTGAATCGACTGAATCCAGTGTACCTACTGAAAATAATATCGGAACGGCGTCCAGTAAATTCAGTACTGACAGAGTTAATATCGGAACATAACCTATATAAGGCTATGGTCCAAACATAACCAAACGTTAACCATTAGCTCTGTTCCAACAGACATGAGAACCGTTCCAGAACCAATAATTTCCAGTTGCCCACCTATTTTTCAATAAGTTGAACATTTTTCCTAATTGACAAATGAATTGATCGACTGAAAATTACCGTTCTAGAAAGGTTTTCATGTCTGCTGGAACAGAGCTAAAGTAACCAAATCGGTCAACAGATGTTTACTGAAAATTCCGGTTACTTTGGGGAACGCAAATATGGAAATAAAACATAATTGACAGAAGTTACAGATAAAACCTTGATAAAACCAACAGAACCGACATCCGATGGCCGGTAACTATTTTGATATTTGGTTAACCAGATTTTAGGAACCCGAGGTACAAAATTAACCAGTTTTCCAGGAACTAGAGAGGATTATCAGTTTTTAAGTCTATGCTCGTGGGTGCTCGAGCTCCCGAGCACCCACGTAGTCGGCGCCCCTGTGAGGAAGGCCAAAGGAAAAAACTTCAGGGACTTCTGTGAATCTATCACAGAAACACCATCAGCAGCCAGACTACTAAACACTGAATGGCCCAGGAAAATCAGGCAAGAAAACTGGGAGTTTGCCTCCTTCTTGGACTCCTCAGCGGGTTACTTGGGCGATTAACTCGTTCCAATCGTTCAAGTCACCTGGAGTTGACGGCATTTTTCCAGCCCTGCTGCAAAAAGGGCAAAATGGAATCATGCCCGTATCTAATCAAACTCATCAGATACAGCTTAGCGACCGAATACATACCCGCAGTCAATGGAGAAGATGTTATTATTAAGATTTTTGTGATGTTTAATATTTCAATATGGTGTAATATTCCGAGAAAATAGACTCATAAATCACAATGTCCTTACTGTAAAAATTTAAACAATAATTATCAAATAATCTAAAACTTAATTTCCGGTATTTTAAATCAGTATCGATAAATTAAAAATGAAACAAATTAACGCTAACGTATCTCGACATCCAGCGTGATGTCATCCTAAAACCCGATCAATGAACTTTTGTTAGCGAAGGCCATCGGCGTACCAAAATTGAGTCGAATGAATTATGGCATTCTTGAATCCAAACGTTTTGACCTCAATAAATCAGATTATTGCGACATAATTAATTGATTTCAGGTTAAAAATGATATAAAATTCCAAGGAAATTGCATCATCTCAATTGTCATGGACAAAGAGATTGGGGCCATCGGGTTTCATATAAATATCGCGTTTCTAGAAGGAGCAGTTAGTACTAGTTAACAGAGAGATGAGTTCGCAGTCCTGTGCAAACTGAATAAAGATTTTTTCGAAAAGTTTCTTTTCCGGCCTCGGTAACAGTCTTTGAAAAAGTAGCGGAAAGTTCACTGTGAAACTTTATTACATTAAAATTATTAACTTGAGTGATTTATAAATGAAACATTATCGCATAACTTTAATTGCCTTCAGATATAATGACATTTAATTGTGCAAAGAAAATATGAAGGGACTTTATAATGGATTTAACAGAACATAAATAGCTTCGATTGAGTAGGGATTATTGAAGAAGTTTGAACTGGTTTGTCCAATTGAAAATTAAGGGCTATAATAACGAACTCATAAGAATTTAAATAATTTTTGTATGTTATCCAGGATGGCGAGAATTTGTAATTGTTCTAATTAAATGGAATAGGAAATCTTGAAAAATAGGATTGTCTTAAAATATTGAAAAGTTGTTGAAGGAAATTTATGATAGTAATTTGTTCTGTTGAAAAGGAAATGGGATGTGTAGAAAAGAAACTTGTGTTTGAAACAAGATTGTTGACGAGTTTAAAATATTGACAATCAATATAAATTTAGCACAAAATGGGGCATATCATGCAAGAAAGAAACACATAGATGTAAGACATAACTTCTTCAAAGAAAAGATGACTGAAAAATTATTTCAGGTGAAATATATCTCTACAGAGAAGCAAATTGCAGATTCTTTAATTAAAGCTGTCAATAAGAAGAAAACTGATTTGTGTGCCAAGAATCAAGGTTTAGTTTATTTTAAATAGAGGGGCTGTTGAACTATTATTCAAAATACTGTGTATGAACCTCAACTTCTTATGACCAGTTTTAGTTTTTACTTTTTATATTGTTTTGCCATTCTGTCTATCATCTTTCAAGTTTAATAAAAGTTCTCTAAATTTTTTCTCTTGCATTAACTGATATTTCACGCAACTCCACAAAGATTCCCTCCCGACAGGGTTGTAACGTAACCAATCAATCCTATGATGGATGAATACCATAATAGTGAGACCTATCATCAAATAGCCTGGTAAAGCCGAACCCAGCTAGGAAAAGTGCAAAGACTCGCATGTCTTTGTGTATAACAGGAGCAATGAGATCATGCCCAATCGTGGCACTTGAAGTCATCCTAAACCTCACACCACTCCACATAATAGTGAAGCGGGTTGCCCTTGGATCATGTCGACTGGTGAAGATAGGTTTACAAGGGAAGACGTACTTTGCCAGAACTTTTCCCCTACCGAACTGTGCACACCTCATGGATTATTTCGATGTTAGTGGACAGAGCAGATGTCAATAGCAAAATTAAAATAGGAATCTCCTCTTAGAAACCAAAGCATAACTTACTGCTGTTTAAAGATATTGAAGAGTCCGTTATAAAACTTTTCTGTAACACAAAAAGAGCAGAAAATTGATGAAATTGCTTGAAAATCTAAGAAAGACAAATATAATAAAGCTTGGACAGGAAAACTACAAATGCATGAGATGAGAGGCAGAATGTTAAGAGCAATTTTCCTTAACAAAACTATAAATGCATTCATCTACCTGACAATGGAAATGAATAATACAAATGCCAAATTCCAGATATAGATTTCATATGCATAAATTACCTTATAACTTCCGTAATAATAATCAGAACCGTATGCGGGTAAATGTATTTGTTTTATCACTTTCTTCTTCATATCGATTCTCAAAAACTCTCGCGGAGACACTCTTATTTCATTTTCGTCGACATCAACTACAATATTACAATTTAATTGTAATAAAACAAACAATGAAATTAAAGTTTACCAATTACTAAAGTAGCTGCTACAGTTTCTAGTATCAAAAACACATCCGAAGGGAATTCGTTGTGATCGTGCTTGATCATTAAATTGCCCGCAAGAGTACCAATCTAGAAAAGCAAATATTTTACCATCAGTTGCAAATTTACTCACCAAACTTTACATTTCTGACTGGTACATGTGCAACCAAATCCAAATGATCAGCCATTTTGTCCAAATAAACAAACTTTCTGTTTTTCCTGGCAATTTTCCTAAATAGGCTCATTGTATCAGTTAAATTCATATTTCCACCTAGTATCAAACTAGTATCTAGTACTGTATAAGTAGTCAGCTCTTTTACTTCGGTAACGTCGATGTAAATTTCCGGAGTGGTACTAGGAGTGAGCAAATATACACCTTAAAAAAATTTATGAGAAAATAGTGTGATGAATCTAATCAAAAATTCGTCAACCTCTTGAGGTGTTTCCTGCTACAAGCATATAAAGCCTATTTCCGGTGGTTCTCAAAATTTCCAATAAGTCAACCAATTTGTAAACTTTCATCCATTTGGCAGGCTCCAAATCGAAATAAACTGGAGTTTTTTTGCAAATTTGCTGGCATTTGCTTGCGCATTTCGTTTTAGAACACAACCCAACATCTTCTACATCATCAATTTCGATTATATCATCTACAAATAAAATCAATTGTTGATAAATTAAACAATATTCACAAATTGTACCAGAATCGGAGGCTAGTTTTTTGAAAGCAGTCAAAATTGGTCGATAACCGGTGCAACGGCACAAATTGCTTCCAAAAGAGTTTTCAATTTCGGCTCGGGTTTTCGGTCCGGACTCGTGCAAAGCGTACATGCTCATCACCATGCCACAAGAACAGAATCCGCACTGAGTGCCGTTATTTTCGACCAAAAGCTTCTGGATGGCGTGGTAGCCGATCAACGGATTCCCGATGCCTTCGTTGGTCAAAATTTTCCAGCCGTGGCAAGAGAAAATTGAGACCAAACACTAAAATAATAATCACTAATTAGATTATTAGGAATTGAGTTTGTTAATTAAGTACTGAATTGACTGCAAAGACTTTTTTGGTGCCATCTGCTTCTAGTACTTCTACTGCCACTATGCAAGCACCACAACCGCCTTCCAGGCACATTTTTTTCGTCGCTGTAAAGTGGAGCTTGTCTCTGAGATAACTAGTGAGGGTGGTTTGAGGGGTGACATTGCTAGAATTAACTTCAAAAAAGTGTTAAATATACAAATTAACTTTGCACTTACCTGTATGTTGAGTTTCACCCAAATAAAATTTGATTTCCGCTTCCCTAAAGGAAATTTTTGAGTTATTCAATTGGTTAACTTTGGGTTTTTACTTACAGCTTCATCATTTATTGGTCCAACACAAACAAAGATTGAATAATCTTTTAAAAACTGGATGTCAGAGACTAAATTATAAGAGAATGGCACATTAAAGATTCAAATCAGAGGCGGGTATTATTAATGTTACATATAAGCTTTAAAATGTATTTGGTACTCCTCTGATTTATTTGCAATAACTTTTTTTTGGAATTTGCATTGTTGTTGCGATAAGGTCAAACAACTACTAATTAGAATGTTTTTGGTTATTTTTAAATTATTAGGTATTCTCATCGAGGGTATTTTAATAAACCGGTTCAAAATGTATAGGCAAACTTTCGCAAAGTAAACTAAGCTTAAGACATTCAAGCTCCTATTTTAGTTTTTAATTTGAAGTATGAGGCTTTTGGAACCCTTCGGACTATGGTTTTTTAAACGTATGTCTTAGCAATATTTTTCATTATTTTTGTCAATGAACTTTCCCAGCTAGCACGAAACATTGTCAGGCTTTTATGCGATGTTTTTTAAATGTGAACCAAAAAACATTTACCTACATGTGATTTACCTTCTGTAATGTATTTGAGTACAATTGGTAACATGTCATTCTAGAGTTGCCTTTAACTAGCAATTATAGTTACTATGGTGTTTAGTCTGGACGTGGTGTTGACAATGTGCAATTTAGATTAAAGATGTTGCTTTACATATAAAGCCCATAGTTCTGTGTTCCAATAGAGTATTTGCCTTTAGTGTTGTATCATTTAATCCTCTACACACCATACACAAAATGGTGGCAGCGTAAAAGCGCGCTAAAGGTAAAAATAAAATCGGAAAGTACCAGTTTACTAGTGATATCGACAGCAAAAAAGGCAACCGATCGACGTTCTTGTCTGGCAAAACGTAACCGATTCCCTACTTTTTAAGGCTGGAACTTGTGAATCTACTAGATATTAGTAAGTACAACTATTTTCATAAAAATGGCTGAGTGGAATGATTGCAAGCCCTTGAACAATTTCAATTTCCATGAAGGCAATGTTGCTGATAGATGGCGATTATGGAAACAAAAATTTAAATATTATCTACTTGCAAGTAATAAATCCAAGGCAAGTGATGAAGTTAAAATGGCAATTTTGCTCAATTACCTAGGTGATCAAGGGATTCAGATCTACAATACATTTGAGTATAGTGAAACAGAAGATGAAACAAAGTTGAGTTGTATTTTGGAGAAGTTTGAAGCATATTGCAACCCCATTAAAAACCTAGTGTATGAGCATTATAAGTTTTTTAAACGTGATCAATTTCCTGAAGAGTCTGTAGATCAGTTTGTAACAGCTCTGAGGCAGTTGTCCTCTACATGTGAATTTAAAGAACAAGATGTTCTTATTAGAGACAGAATTGTCCTTGGAAACAGTAACCTGAAAATACAGGAAAAACTGCTTCAGTATTCAGATCTGGAATTGAATAAAGCAATCAAGATAGCTAGATCCATGGAGAGCAGTGTAGCGACATAACGAGAAATCACAAAAGCTGCAGGTGATTCATCAAATGTAAGTGCAATTCAAAAGCGATATTTTCATAATAATCAAAACTCTGGACAAACCTCAACAAGATACAACAACAAAAAAGTGTATAATCAAAAGTGTTGTAACCACTTCTGTGTTGTAGCTAATAGAAGCACTCCTCGAGTAGCTTCTGGGAGTGGGACTGTCAATTGTGGTAAGTGTGGCCTTTCACATTTGAAAAATAATTGTCCTGTATATAAACGAATTTGTTTAACTTGTGGACAGCATAGTCATTATAAGAAATTCTGTCCAAATTTTAATTCAAGTAAACATGTTCACGAAGTCGAAATAGAGGAACAGTTTGTTGACAATCCATGTAATTGTAGTCATTTTTGTCAACCAGATCAGAACCAAAGTAATTTGCAAGCCTCCAATTCAATTGATTCAACAGCTGATAGTGTTGACAAGAGTGACTCGGATGGTGATGATGATTTCCAAGTGTTATGGTCTATTACCAGACAGTGTTTGCTCAATAGAATGGTATGAAACGATAAATATAAATGGTTCAGGTGTTAATTTAAAAATTGATACTGGGAGTTCTGTAAATATTCTAAATTATCAAGATTTTAAAACTTTAAAGCTAAAGAATGAAATGCTCTTAACTGTTTCTTCAAAACTATTTTCATATTCTGGACATAACATTAATAATGTTTTAGGACAAATTTGTGTCAATTGTTGCTTCAATAATATCAATAGAAATTTGAGTTTTTAGGTTCTAAGTAATAAAACACCTAAATCAATTTTGGTTCTCCCAGGTGTGAAAGTTTTTAAAATGATAAATAAAAAAATATATTCGGTAATACAGAAATCAAATATCAATAATAAAGACATCCTAGATTTGGAAAGTATTGTAGATTTTCATTAGAGTGTTTTTGATGGAATTGGGAAAATTAATAAAAATTGTAAAATTATATTGCAAAACAATGCAGTACCATGTGTCAGTGCTTGCAGGAAGATTCCAATTGCTTTACGCGATAAAGTTAAAGCTGAGCTCAGCAAGTTAGTTTCTGAAAATATTCTTTTGCCTGTTGAAGAACCAACTGATTGGGTTAGCCCAATTGTAATTGTGCCCAAGCCTAATGGATCGATTCGCTTATGCATGGATCCAAGAAACCTAAATAAATATGTAAAAAGGCAATTGTGTCAAATTCCTACTACTGAATATTTATATCAAAACTGGCTGGTGCCAAGTATTTTTCATTGTTGGATGCATCTTCGGCATTTTTACAAATACCATTAGATAATGAAAGTTCTCTTCTCTGTACTATACTAACTCCATATGGAAGATACAGGTATCTTCGTCTTCCTTATGGACTTAAGTCAGCTCCTGAAATATTTGAGAGATTCATACAACAAACACTGGATGGTGTTGAGGGTGTAGTTTCTTATTTTGATGACATTCTTGTGTATGGTAGGAATATTTCTGAACACAATAAAAACCTTGACATAGTGCGTTATCTAAGCTAAAAGCAACGGGTCTATCGCTCAATTTGAGCAAATCAAAGTTTTGTAAAAATGAAATTAAATTTTTGGGGCACATACTTAATGCATGTCTCCGGATCCAGTCAAGACTGAGGCAATTGCTAATATGTCTTCTCCTACAGAAAAAAAAAGTCTTCAAAGATTTCTTGGCATGATTGTGTATTTATCAAAATTTATTCCAAATTTGTCCAAGAAAGCACAATATTGAGAAAATTATTGAGTGACAAATTTGTTTGGACGTGGACCGCAACTGAAGAAGCCTGTTTTGTTCATCTAAAACAATTAGTTTCCTCAGCTACAACTTTATCATATTTTGATCCTAAAAAGAAAACTGTTTTAGCTGTGGATGCTAGTCCTTATCGACTTGGCGCCGTTTTGGATCAAGATAATAAACCTATAGAATTTGCATCTGTGTCCCTAACCCCCACTCAACAAAAGTATAATCACATAGAAGGAGCTTTTGGCCTTAGTTTATGGATGTGAGCGTTTCCACTACTATCTTTATGGGCAAAATTTTGAACTTCACTCAGATCATAAACCTTTATTAGGATTATTAAAAAAATCATTAGATGATATGTCACCCAGAATTCAAAGACTAACAATAAGGTTGCTCAGATATCAATTTAATCTCGTTTATGTTCCAGGAAAACAATTATTAATTCCAGACACTTTAAGTCGAGAGCCTTCTAGCAATTATGTCAATACTAACTATTTAGAATCAAATCTGCATGTATATTCGGTTATTTCAACATCCAAAGAAAATGAAAAAAGATTACAGGCTGCTATTTCGAATGACCCAATTTTACAGAGGGTAAAATATTACACTCTAAACGGCTGACCACAGCATAAAAATAACCTTTTACCTATGATCAAGCCGTTCTGGAATTTCAAAAGTGATATTTATCTTCACAAAGATGTCTTGTTCTACAAAAAAGGCTTATTATCCCAGAATGTCTCAAATCTGAATTTTTAAACCTTATCCATCAAACTCATCAAGGTATTATATCCTGCAAGAGAAAAGCCCAAGAATCCATTTTTTACCCTGGATTAATGACTGACATTGAAAAAGTGATTTTAACTTGTCCAACTTGCCAAATGTATGCCAAAAGTAACCAAAATGAGCCTTTGACTCCTCATGAACCACCAATGCTTCCTTGGCAAAATATTGGAGTGGATTTTATGTTTGTGAAACCTCATAATTTCATAGTTATTGTAGACTATTTTAGCAAGTTTGTTATTGTCAATAAATTAATAACCAAAACCAAAGATTCTGTTATTTCTTGTCTGAAGAATGTTTTTACAAATAATGGCATTGCTCAGGAAATTTTTTCAGATAATGGTCCACCATTCAATTCTCATGAATTGCGACAATTTGCAAAAAAATATAACATTGACTTGTCCACATCTAGCCCCAATCATCCCAAAAGTAATGGTATGATTGAGAGTACTATTCAAACCATTAAAGGCTTGTTCGTCAAAGCCATACAAAACAATCAAGATCCATTTTTATCGGTTTTAAGTTATAATACGACTCCTAAGCAAAATCTTCCTGCACCCAGTGTACTTTTAATGGGTAGACAATTGAGAACAACACTTCCTGTACCAACTGAAATCTTGCAACCTCAATATCTAGGTATTGAAGGCATCAATAAAAAATTAAAAGTCGCTCAATATAAACAAAAACGTTATTATGATCAAACTGCAAAAGAGCTGGCAGATCTTCATCCTGGTCAAAAAATCTTGTTACAAAACAAAGTGCGAGAATGGAAATTAGGTGTAATTATTGAGAAATTAGATTTTAATGATTATATTGTTCGAATAAACAATACCGATTATCGCAGAAACAGGCATTATCTTAAACCCTACTTATCTCCGTCTAATGTGCCAACTTGAGGTACCTTTGTTTGTACCTCTAGTCCAAAAAGATGTAAAGACTGATGTAAAGACTAATAATACCACTCGTGTTAGTGCTCCTATAAGTGATAACGATCGTGATAATATTGATCGTCATACTGACGTACCTTCACAAAATGAAGAATATTTTATAAATGATAAGTCATTTATGAAAAATTCTCTAGAGACTCCTGTCGGAGCTCCTTGTGTTACTAAAAGTGGTAGAATTGTTAAGCCCACTATAAAAGAATGATTCTTCAGTTTATAATAGTTTAATAATAAATTAGTTTGTAGATTAGTTATTGATATTTGGTATTTTATATTTGTCTTTCCTTAAGGAAGGGCGTGTAATGTATTTGAGTACAACTGGTAACAACATGTCATTCTAGAGTTGCCTTTAGCTAGCAATTATAGTTACTATGGTGTTTAGTCTGTTGTGGTCTGACGTGGTGTTGACAATGTGCAATTTAGATTAAAGATGTTGCTTTACATATAAAGCCCATAGTTCTGTGTTCCGATAGAGTATTTGCCTTTAGTGTTGTATCATTTAATCCTCTACACCCCATACACAACACCTT